AACATGATGCTAACTTCATAAAATGAGTTTGGAAGTGTTCTCTCTTTTTCTGTATTTGACTTTAAGAAGGATTGATATTCTTCTTTGAATACTTGGTGGAATTTATGCATGAAGACACCTGGTCCTGGACTTCTTTGTTGAGGTTTTCAATTACTGATTCAATCTCCTTATTTGTTATTTGTTTCATGCTTTTCATTTTTTCTTCATTCAGTTTTGGTAGGTTGTATGTTTCTAGAAACTTATGCAACTCTTCTAGGTTACCCAGTTTATTAGTGTGTATAACTGCTTATAATTGTCCCTTCTGATTCTTTTTATTTCTGAGACATCCATTGTAATGTCAACTCTTTCACTTCTTTCTTTATTTATATGCATTTTCTCTTTGTTCCTTAGTTAAGGGTTTGTCAGTTTTATCTTTGCAAAAAACCAATTATTAGTTTTGTTGATTTTTTTCTATTCCCTGTTTGACTTATTTCTCCTCTAATTTTTATCACTTCCTTCTGTCTGCTAAATTTGGGTTTAGTTTGTTCTTCTAGTTTTTCGATGTATAAAATTAGATTGTTTATTTGAGATCTTTCTTTTTTTTTTTTTTTTTTTTTTTAAGATTTTATTTATTTGACAGAGAGATCACAAGCAGGCAGAGAGGCAGGCAGAGAGAGAGAGGAGGAAGCAGGCTCCCCTAGAGAGCAGAGAGCCCGATGCGGGGCTCGATCCCAGGACTCCGAGATCACGACCTGAGCCGAAGGCAGCGGCTTAACCCACTGAGCCACCCAGGCGCCCCTATTTGAGATCTTTCTTAATGTAAATGTCTATTGGTATAAATTTCCCCCTTAATACTGCTTCTGCTCCATCCCATAAGTTTTGGTATGGGTTTGGTTTTCTTTTTTATTTGTCTCAAGATACTCTTTAAGTTCTTTTGATTACCACTTTTACCCAAGGGTTGTTTTAGAATGTGTTGTTTCGTTTTCACACATTCATGAATTTTCCATTATTTACTTATTCTCTTTTTAAAATTTTATTTTATTTAATTTTTGCTGTTATTGACATCTAGCTTTATTCCACTGTGGTCAGAAAAAAATTCTTGGAATGGTTTTAATCTTCTTGAAATTGTTAAGACTTGTTTTTTCGACGTAACATTGATATATCCTAGAAAATGAGCTTTGTACACTTAAGAAACATGTATTCTTTGCTATTGGACGGAAAGTTGGTGTATGTCCATTTGGTCTGTAGTATTGTTCAAATCAGCTGTTTTTTCATTGATTTTTTTTGTCTTGGTATTCTATCCATTATTGTAAGTGGAATATTGAAGTCCCTTGCTGCTATTAGATTGTTGTCAATTTGTCAATTGTTGAGTTTTTCTTTCAGGTGTGTTGGTATTTGCTGTATATATGTAAGTGCTCTTGTGTTGAGTGCATGTGTTTATAATTATTATACTTTCCTATTGAATTAACCCTTTTATCATTGTATAATGTCCTTCTTTGTATAATTTGTTTGATGTAAGTATAGCCCCCTTCTTTTTCTTGGTTACCATTTGCATGGAATATCTTTTCCTATTCTTCACTTTCAGCCTATCTGTGTCTTTAAATCTAAAGTGAATCTCTTGTACATTGTCGATGAATATTGGTGGGGTTTTTTGATCTGTTCAATCAGGCACTTGTGCCTTTTGTTTTCTTAATAGAGGGAGGCAGACCTAAGAGATTCTTAACTATTAAGAACAAACTGAGGGTGGCTGGATCGGTGGGGGATGGGCTAAATGGGTGATGGGGATTAAGGAGGACACCTGTGGTGATGAGCACATGTTATATTTAAGCTAATCACTAAATTCTACTCCTTCAACCAATATTATATACTATATGTTAAACTAACTAGAATTTAAAAACCTGAAACAAACAAAATAAAAAGTAATTACTGATATGAGAGGATTTATTATTGCCATTTCCTTCTTTGTTTTCTGTTGTTTTGCTCCTGTTTTGTACCTCTCTTCCACTCTTTTCTTCTTTGCTATGTGATGATTTTTTTGTAGCGATTTGCTCTTATTTTTTTTTTTTTGTATTTATTGACTTTAATTGCATGCAAAATTTTATACTTTTACTCTCCTATCCCTACATTTTGTGTTCTTATCATGAGTGCTTCTTTTTATAGCATGTACTCATTAAAAACAGGCAGTTTAGTCAGCTGAGGTCTGTGAAGACTGCAAGAATCCTTGATACCAAAACTACAGCAGCAAGTTCCGTTAGCCTTCTCTTGCTCTCCTTCTACCCCACAGGGTCCTGGCAAATGAGATCCCTCTGGGTCCTGGGGTCTGTGGTGCAGGCACCAAGGCACTGGGGAGGGTGGTGCAGTGGTTCCGGTCCCAATGAGGGTGCACCAACAGCTCCTTCTCAAAGGAGACACAGCAGTGTGTACTTCAGGCATCTCTGTCAGCTGGAGTTAGTGTCAGCAAACACCGCACAGGTCCTTGATTATGAAAACTGCAGGTTTTCTCCCAGTGGCAAAGGCTGCTTGGGTCCTCTTGCTCTCCTTTCCCTGAAGTAAAACGTCATGGCCAAGGGGATCCCTCTTGGTGTGGAGCAGGGCCACACGGGAGGATGGAATGACACACATAAAATGCTTGTGTTTTCCTATGGGGCCATCTTGATTTTTTTGTTCCACTGGGTTGCTGCAGCTTCTTCATTGCACTCCCAAAGCCTTCCCAGAGCTATTTTCATCTGTGGGCAGTTGTTAATTTGTTTTCGTGGAGGGATGAAAGCTGGGGCTTCCTAGCCCTCCATCTTGTTGATGTTACTTGCTTTAAGTTTGAAACATAAACTTGGCTTGAGTGGTCATCAAGTCAATGGTGTAAATAATGACATTATTTTGTCAATTGTACTACATTTCTGACTATATTTCCAAACCTCCATTTAGATTCAGGTCCTCTTCCCAAAACTCTAGGCTACTCCACATCTGCACAGGTTCCTTAAAATCAGCATGTCCAAAAACAGATGTCATGATCTTCTTCCTTAAACCTGCTCCTCTTCCAGAATCCTAGAGCTTGCTTAACAGCTTTCCCACCTACCCAGCTGAGCTTATCGGGGCCACTCTTGACTCCTTCCTCTTTCTAATGCTCCCACATCCAATTAATACCAAGTCTCATCTATTTTACTTCTTAGATATCTCTTTTTTTTTTTCCTTTTGTAGGAAATCTTTTTATTCACACTAAAGAAATTGCCTATAGTTTTCATATTTAACACATTTTATTTTTTGAAACAGTGAAAATACATATTGAGAGAATCTTTAAAACTATTTCATATACATTTTAGATACTTATTTTTTTCCTCAGCTTGTGTTAGTTTAAATTTAGTTAGTTTTTTTTTTTTAATTTATGGTATCTTTATATTATTAACATATAATGTATTATCTGTTTCAGGGGTACAGGTCTGTGATTCATCAGTCTTACACGATACACACGGCTCACCATAACACATACCCTCCCCAGTGTCCATCACCCACCCACCCCATCACCCACCCCCTCCACTCCAGCAACCCTCAGTTTGCTTCCTGAGATTAAGGGTCTCTTATGGCTTGTCTGCATCTTTTAGATATCTCTTGAACCCATCTCCACTGCCATTGCCCTCATCCAGGTCTCCTTTACCTCGCATTTGGACCACAGAAACACTGCCCTAATTTACTCCATGTCCCCACTGTCTCTAGGTCATTCTTGTCATGGCAGCCTAAGAGGTCTTTACAAAATTTGTCGGATCATGTTCCTTTCTTGACCCTTAGGGTGAAGTTCCAGATCCTTAATGGGTTATAGGAAACCCTATGGCCTACCCCTGTCTACTCCACTGAGAACCTTTTCTTTCTTTTTTTTTTTTAAAGATTTTATTTATTTATTTGACAGACAGAGATCACAAGTAGGCAGAGAGGCAGGCAGAGAGAGAGGAAGAGGAAGCAGGCTCCCTGCTGAGCAGAGAGCCCAATGTGGGGCTCAATCCCAGGACCCTGGGATCATGACCTGAGCCAAAGGCAGAGGCTTTAACCCACTGAGCCACCCAGGTGCCCCTCCACTGAGAACCTTTATTGCCCCTAGACTCCTAGCTCTCTCTACTCCAACCATGCTGTATTTCTTTCAGTTCCTCAGACATCCATGTTACTTCCCACTTCTGGGCCTTTGCACACGCTGTCCCCCTGCCCTCCACATGCTCCTCCTCTTTCCATTGAGCTAACTCCTGTTCATCCTTCTCAGGAAAACATCCTTGACTTTCTAGAATACACTGCTAATCTGCCCTGTGCCCCAGAGCACTCTGCCCTTTTTTTCACAGTTGAGTTTATTCACAATTATTTATTTAATATGTGTCTTCACCACCAGAATGCATGTTCCATGAAGACATTAAAGTACCCACACCACCTATAGCTGTATACCTAGTGCCTAGCTAACGCCCAGCACCCAGTCAAGTCTCAGTAAACAGTTGCTGACCAGTGATTGAAACGCAGTTCTTCCTAGTTAAGGATTCAGTTCCAGTGTGCAGATATAACCTAAACACCAATAGTCCATGATATTTGTGCTTTCCTTTAAGCCCTTTGACCCTTATTTTTCATTGTACACATCTTTTTATGTACATACTAGACTTCTCACTTCCCCTTTTTCCTCTTCCCAGTGATGTGTCACAAATTGATGTATTTTTATTGGGTGAGGCCCAGGCAATCTCCCTGTTTATAACTCTGGCCTTTCTGTGAACAAACACACAAAGTGAACTTTGGTTTATCTCCTATCATAATGTAGCTCCTAATTGCTGGCAGGGAGGCTGTATTCCATAGTCCACGTGACAGTGGGGCATGACCAGAAAGGAGCGTGGGGAAGAGTGGACCAAAGGACCCAGCTAGAGGCTGCCCAGCTGGAGTCCCTGCCTCCCTAAAGGCACAGAGTAAAACAAGTGAGCCCAAGGAGTATGGTTCTGAGGTAAGCAAGGGCACGAAGATGACACTATTGGGCTTAGCTTTGTGGTCACTGCTCCTCCGTCCAGGGCTGACGTTCTGGGCCTCCCAGATCAGTCAGAACTGCAACAATGGCAGCTACGAGATCAGCGTCCTGATGATGAACAACTCAGCCTTCCCAGAGTCCTTGGATAACTTGAGACAAGCGGTGGATGAGGGAGTGGAAATAGTGAAACAGCGTCTGCTTACTGCTGGTAAGAACATGGTCAAAGAGTCCACCTCCTCCCTGTTACCACCTCTGGGGTCAAAGGGTTGCTTAGCCAAGACCTTCCATTTGCCTGATCACCCACTCTCCTCTAAGGCTGGCCCCACAACCCCTTTCTGTTTCAAGGCAGTAGGTTCTCGAAGAGAAGGATTTAGGTCCTACCGCATTGTGCTCCATCATAATCCACCCTGCTCTTGGAATGGCCCCAACCCAGGGAATTGCAGATGTTCACAGCAGTGAACTGCCCCAGACAAAACTCGATTGATGGCTCAGTTTCAGGAGGGTATTGTGTTCCTTTCCGCAGCTGCTCAGAGACCGTATTTGGTCTGGACCTGAGACTTTACAGGCTTACAGTCAAGAAGATGAATTAAGAGAGTTAAATTCGTACAGACATGGACTCTTTTTCTGGGGTTTTTAATCCATCTGTTCACTCTTACATCTCTGTTGGCTGTTATTATAAGACACAATCAAATTTGCAACCAAATTCAGTGTTGCAGTTCTTTATTGTGTCTAGTAGTTATTAAAATAAACTTTATAACATCAGATAAAATACATAAAGGGAAAAAATCATGCCTGATAATTTTCAGCCACCTGGATACTTCATTTCCAGCGTCTGTTAATATATGCCTCTTAGTTTCTTGTTTTTTAAGAACATGGTTGGTATCACTATGGTATAGAAACAATCTTCTATCCTTCTGATTTTATGTCACATTATTCTGCAAGTGACTTTCCTAAAGCTGCGTAATCTTCACGTGAATCTTCATCACATCATGTGAGCGGATATAGAATATTCCTCGGAGTCAATACCTTCCCAAACCATCTAATTATTCCCTACTGTATGATTTCCTATTGTTTTTAAATTTTCATGATTATTTTAAAATATTATAATAAACACACACACACACACACACACACACACACACACACACACATCTATGTATATTTTTTTCTATTCTTGAGACTAGATTGCCAAAAGTATAATTACTGAGTCAATGACTAGATCATACATCTTAATGTTTATTTGTAGTTCTAAAGAGGATATGTCTTCATTTCCTCCATTTAAAATTCTGTGGTAATCAGCTCTTTTCTAGTGCCCAAGCTGCATGGTTTCATTACCTTGTGGTAATGCCATGTGGCTAACACAAGGTATATGTTATATGTTATTTGGTACCTCTGCCAATGACTTTACATAGTGTATGGAAGGTATTTAAGCCCTCATGCTATACATTGCTGTTCCTAGACTGGACGTGTATGTTCTGAGAAGTTGTCATAAGTGAGATTTGAATAACCACTAAAAATGCAATAAAATTCTATGGTAATAAAAGCAAGAGGTATACATCACATATGTGTGAAAGCTTTTTGCTGTGCAATATACATTTCTTTGACTTGCCTGAGACCAATTCTGGTGTAGATAGATAGATCTGATCTAGAGCTGTAATGGAACTATAATGTCATTTAATTAAAGCTCTTTATTTACCAAGACTGTGGCGTCATGGAAGGAGTATTTGATCTGAAATCTGAGAACATGGATTGGAGTCACTGTCCTAGAGTTTTCTTGCTTTGTGACCCTGGACGAGCAATTTCCCTTAGTCTCTCTGAGCCTTGGTTTCCTTCTTTATTGAGTATCTGTTGTGTATTAGGTCAGATATATAATCTCTTTAGTCATCACAGTTCTGTAAGATTGGCATTATTGGCACAGTTTCACAGTGGAGGTTTAATAACTTTGCTGAAGTCATACGGATTGCCTATTGGAAATGAGATTCCAACCCGTATCTGTCTGGTTCCAAAGAGCATATTGTATTGCCACCCTAAGATCGTTAGCCATCATGAACTAACTTTCCATTAAAATAAGGCAGTGGAACACTGTAGTTAGAAGCAGAGATTTGGAATCAGAGCTTGGTTCGTATTCCAGCTTTTTAACCAACTGTTTATCACCAGCAACCTGGAGCAAATTAAGTTTTCTGAACCTCAGTCCCCTTATTGTTTGAAATCACAATAAACGGTAGTTGGCTATGGTATGAATTAAATGAGGAAATTCGTATAAAGTACCTAATACACAGACTGAAACATACCAAGAACTCAGAGAGTAGCAGTTGTTTCATCGTTGTCACTATTGTTTTGGTTGAGGACATTAATGTTGTGTTATTGCTGTCGTGTTGTTGCTGCTGTTACTTGAACAAGTTACCAGGGTATAAAATATACAGTGTAGTGTAGTGTTAAGATCTGATCTCTGGACTCATATAACCTGTCTGGACTCATATAACCTGAATTTGAATTCCTGATCTATCAATCACTAGTAATTATAAACGCTTTATTGGGTTGTTTATTCTAAGTTCCACTCATCTCCTTTACCAAATAGAATTAGGCATGGTGAGGTGGTTGAATAAATTAAACAAGTGGAGAATTTGGTTGGGGGATAAACAACGATGCCCAGATTTTTGCACATGATGATGCATTTTGTTAGATGGGTGTTCATGCATAGGAAACTCAAGAAGTGCAGGTTGTAATGGAAAGATAGATTCATGTTCTAAACACACTGAGCATTACTATCTGGGGGAAATTCTAAGTCTTCTTAGAAATTCTAATTCTAAGTCTAAGACTACACTTAAAGAGCTAAATTGCAGAAAATATTAAGGATCCAAATGTGGGTGATGTCCAAATGGAAGAAAACAATATTTTTTTCCTAGTACTTAGGAAACTCCTGTAGGTTTTGAAGAATAGATAGGATTTGGTGGAAAACATTGAAAAAAAGGGATTCCTTCAACTTAAGGACATCAGCTCCTCAAGGATGTATGTTCCATGACTAAGCACATCTCATTCATACCTGCCAAATGGTCTCATGCTCTGAGGGGTCCCTTTCCTAGACTCCAGCACCTATATTCAGATTCACTGTGGTCCAACCCCATCCTCAAAGCCCTAGGTAGGGAGAAAGGATTCTCTGTATTCTATAGCATTCCACTCATCTTCCCAGGACAGAGGTATCCTGGTGGGGTGGAGGTGCAGGCAGGATAAAGATGAGGAACAGCACTTGGGGGAACTGTTTATTTTAAGTTAAGCTTTGATTTGAAGTCATTACATTGTCTGAAAATTTTCCATGTTTTCTTGAGAAATCAGTTGGGATTTGGGAAGATAAAAGGAAAGGGATCTTCACCTTCCCCTACCCAATTAAAAAACAAAAGCAGAAACAGTTCACATAACCATAAATTTTTGAGAGACAGCAGCATGCAACGTATGTTCTACAGAAATGGCTCTCAAATTTTTTGGTCTCAAGACCTCTTTATACTCTTCAAAATAATTGCAGGCTCTGTAGAGTTCTGTATATATAGTTACATTTACCGACGTTTACTATATTGGAAATTAAGACTGAGAAATGGTTTAAATATTTGCTTATTAATTAATTTAAAATAATTACAAACACCTTATCTGTTCACATAAATAAAATTTACTAAAGAAAACCTCTATTTCTCAAGCCAAAAAATAAAAATAGGTAGTAAAAATTGTATCAATTTACATTTTTGTACATCTTTAATGTCAGGCTTCATAGAAAATGGCTAGATTCTCATATCTGCTTCTGCATTTAATCTGTTGTTATAATACAGTTAATATCATGTAGGCTTTCAAAACTCTACTATATGCTCATGAGAGAAGAGTGGAAAAAACAAAGATGTCTTAATTTACTTAGGCTAGCTTTGACCTCCTGAAAGACTCTCAAGGTACCTCTGGGGTCTGTGGCCCACACATTGTAAACTACCGTTTTACAATATGTCTGATTCTAGAATCAGACAGTCCTAGGTTCAAAACCCCAGCTGTGTAACCCTAAGCAAGTCAATCTACCTCTCTAGACCTTCATTTTCTCATTTTTAAATTAGGAATTTTAACTGACCTCCTATGATTTAGGGGAGGCTTAAGGATTGAAATAATGCATGCAAAAATCCAGAGCCCAATGCTAGGCATGTAGTAACGGAGATTGCCCCGTTCTGTTCTATCTATAAATGGATGAGGAACTGGGGCCCCAGAGTTGAAGTCAGTTGCCTGAGGTCACACTCAATAGATGTTGGCACCCCTTCTTCTAGATCCCCTGCAGGATTTATACTTGTCTGCCACAGGCTGCCTGGACTACTGGATTTTGAAGTGGGTCATCTTCAATGCCCCTCCTGGTGGCAGGAGGGAGCAGAGCCCTCCTGGGGGAGGAGGAGGAAGAGCTATCTTAGACTTCAACAGCTGTGGGTGTGGCCATCTTCCCAAGCCCTGTTTGTGTTGTGTGACTCTGTGCTGGCCTCCACTCCACCCCCTGACTCCTCCCGCTGCTTTCTAAGACCATCTCTGGTACTATTTTCCACTGGTCCCAACATGTACTCTCTTTTTCTCCTGGGCCCCCCACAGCCTCACTTATACTATCCTCCCGGCTTCATATACTCTATAGTCTCCCTACTGCCGTGAGAATTAAATAACAAAAAGGGTACAAAGTGTTCTGTCTTATGGCTGGCAAGGGGCCACATTCAGGTATTAATTGCTCTTATATCCATCGCTGGCCCCACCTCTTCTTTTTATTTTCTCTGACTGGTCTTCTTGCATGGACCTCTTCTATTTGACTAGACCTACTGCCAACTCTTATTTAGCTCTCTTACTGAACAAAGTATCAGGACACGTGTTCTTGAATCAACCCTCCTTCCCCCAAAAAGGCAAGAGGTAAAATGCTCCCTAGTTGACAGACACACCTCTGAGGCAGCTAAAGAGTGCGAAGACTATTTCATTCTCAGTCTTGAAAAACACTGTTACTTGGACGTTCAGAAGAACAACAGCCTTTTCTGTTGTTGATGTGTTTTACTCTTGTAGAGGTATCAAAATTATTATGTTTGACAGTTATGGTTTTAATCCCATTTTATGTATGAAGGCACCCAGTTAGAGAAATTCAGATGGCTTGTGCAAGAACACAAAGAAAGTCACGCATCCTTCAACCAGCAGTGTGACGAGCGACTGAGGTTTCCAGACTTCCTGTGTAAATGCTTGGCCAAATGAAGGATGCCACTGCTTAGGAATCACACATCTGTCCTGAATATTTTTTTTATTTGGAGGAAACGAAATGGAAGAGACAGACCTTGATCATATGGTTGTGCTGTCTTTTTATTCCCTTCCAAGAGAGAATTTCTAGCAATCTAGCAATAAGGTATATCATCCTCAGTGCTCTTGCCCTTATCTGAAGATGACCCATTATCCAAAGACCCTAGACCCTGATGGACACATTTCGCCAGTGTGCACATTGGCAGCAAACAGAATCAGCACTTTGGGAACATGAAAGAACAGATATCAGACTGTCTGTATCTTTGCTGTCCTAAAACTCTGCAGATGTGCAGAAGAAACTTGCTGGGACTACAAGCGTGAAAAGAAGAGAGCCATGAACAGAATGAAAATGTCATAAAACCAGATTGTGGGATGGTTGCACAAATATACACACTTACTAAAAATCATAGAACTGTACACTTTAAATGGGCGATTTTTATGGAGGGTAAATTGTACCTCAATAGGGCTGTTGAGAGAGACAGACAGAAATGAGACAGAGGAAAGAAGTGAGAGGAAGTAATATAAAATTTATTCTTATATATAATATTCTTGGGCCTGAAGAGGAATATCCATTTTTTCCCAGGATCAACTGGTAAAAAAGTAAACGTCATGGCTACAAACTACGGAAAAATAACACATTTTCTCTTTTCCCTCATTTCTGGAAACAGGCATAAATGTGACTGTGAATGCTACATTCATCTATTCGGATAGTGTGATTTATAAGTCAAATGACTGCCGGAGTAGCACCTGTGAAGGCCTTGACCTACTCAGGGAAATTTCTGTAAGTAAACACTTTTGTAGGTAGAGCTCACGCCTCTCGGCACACCAAAGTCACAGTGTGGAACTTGAGCACTTGTCCATGAGCCTCTTGTATGTCACCTCTAGTCGCATAGCTGAGTGTTTTGGAGAGAGGGTAATCTGACTTCAGCCCCATATGTTTCCAAGTGATGAGGGCCTTCTGGGAGTCCAGGAAAGTGGGGAGAACTTTCTATGTTCTATTTGTGCACTTTCAATATTACGGAGGGGAATTCTTTTAAGTGTCTTCAAAACATTTTAAAATTTTAAATGTTGGCATTAACTGGTTTTCTTGTGTGTCCCTCAGGAAGTGCCTGAGGTATTTCAAAGTCCTACACCAGAGATCTCTGTTTCAAGTTGTCACCCTACATGGGGCCACAGGTTAATGGCTTCAGGGCTGAATCTGAAACCTGAATTTTAAAATAGTAACAGTAATGTTAAAAGGTAGAAATAGAAAGGGAGGGGCGCCTGGGTGACTCAGTGGGTTAAGCGTCTGCCTTCCGCTTGGGTCATGATCTCAGGGTCCTGGGATAGAGCCCCGCATCTGGCTCTCTGCTCGGTAGGAAGCCTGCTTCCCTCTCTCTCTCTGCCTGCCTCTCTGCTTACTTGTGATCTCTCTCTGTCAAATGAATGAATAAATAAATAAATAAATAAAATCTTAAAAAAAAAAAAAAAAGAAAGGGAGAGCTTCTTGCCTAATTCCTCCTCCCAGCTCCCAATCCCAGCCAGGGCTTTCTGGAGTGAAAGAATATTCCAAGCTCTCGAAAGGCAAGTAGGTGTGCAAGCAGCCTTTTTACCACAGAAGCCCAAGACAAGGCTCTCCTAGAAGCAGAATTGTAGGCATAGAACCACACAAAAGTTTTATCAGTAGCATGACCCTGACCAGACAGGTCGGCTCATGTCAGGAAGAGACACTGACGACAGCAGTCATTCTCAGTCTTGAGAGGGCCGGGAATGAGGAAGGGGAGTTTACAAACTCCACGTTATGATGCCACGAGTTGTGTCCTCCATCCCTTTATCTCTATGGACAGAGGTGTATCCTGGTTTCCTAAAGCCAGGGATGGCATGTTCCTAATCATGTTCCTTTTGAGAAATAGTACGAGATGCCGTCTGTAATCACCCGGCTGGTCACATTGCACTTCGTTCTCTTTAGCCCTGTTTTGTAGCTCTCCTTAAAACTGCAACTTGCCCTCTTCCCCCAAAGCCCCTGCAAGTCTAGCCTGCCCACAATCCGGCCCATAGACACTGCTCATGTTACAGTCAGTCCTCCCCCACTCTGCGTTCTCCTTTTGACGAAGAATCCAAGTTCACCTCCAACAAAATCTCCTTCCTTCCACCCACAGCATCATCGCTTCCTCAGACTTCTCTACCCCTTAGCACCCCTTGCCCACCTCAAGGCACCGTGTGTTGCTCCTTTCTTGACAGGCTCACTTTCAAATTTTCTGGGGCCTTTTTCCCTTACCATTTCTTTCCTATCCATTTGGTCATTGTTTTCATTTTATTTTTAATTTTTTTAAAGCTTCTATTTATTTTTTTGAGAGAGAAGAGAGAGAGAGAAGGTAGTGGGGGATGGGGAGGGAGAAGCAGACTCCCCACTAAGCAGGGAGCCCGATGCTGGACTTGATCCCAGGACCCCCAGGATCATGACCTGAGCCGAAGGCAGGCGCTTAACCAACTGAGACACCCAGGCGCCCCCATTGTTTTCATTTTAGAGATTCATTTTTCCTTTTTCTTTTCTTTTTTTTTTTCCCTACAGAAAAACAAACAAATGGGCTGTGTCCTCATGGGGCCCTCATGTACATACTCTACCTTCCAGATGTAGTAAGTAATTTGGTTGGTTGTTGCTTTAATGCCACCATAAGTTGAAGTCAGGCCATGATACCAATTTAAGTGATTAATCAAATAGCAGCTGGTCAAGGCAGAGCCATGAGGGGTGTTGGGGCCCTCGCGTTTTGCTACTTCTCTGTAGCAAAATACTTTTCCAGGTAACTCGACCTTTGCTTACTGTGGGGTGAATGACCATAGCTGTTCAGGTCCAGTTACTAACATCTGAGCCTGAGAGGCAACATGGGACAGGTAAAATATTAGAGTCCTGCAGGAGACAGAGAAGACAATGAACTTGGACAATCCGAGGAGTTTAATAAAGGGGCATCTTCGTTAAGGTGTGAGCACAGTGTGTGGAAACACAGGAAAAGTGCTGTACCCGGAGCATTAGCAGGGGTCTGTTCTCCTCCTTAGGCCAGAGGAATAAGTGAAGTAGCAAGGTACTGACTTCACAGCACTGAGGATTATATACTTAATATAAGAAGGCACCTTGCCCAGCGCCCTTATCAGCTTAGGGGGGAAAAGCTGCCTATATATTAATGCCACAATAAAAATATTTCTCTGCCTTTGGGAAAATCGCCCTCATCCTTTCCTTTCATTTCACTCAGTGTAATTCTCATCAACACAAAACATTTTGTTCTTCCCCAAATCAAAATCCCTCTCCCATGCCTTTCTTTCATCTGTTCAGTCTTCCCCTGAATCAAGGATCACCTTTGTCTACACGGAGAAAATTACGCTGCCCTTGCAATAGATTCTGGAAAAAGTAAAATTAAGTTTCTGAAGTTTCTGTCGTGAAGTCTGCTTCTGACATGTCCTCTCAGCTGGACAAACACACTCGGGTGTTCAGACCCACCACGTGCCACAGAAACACCACAGAAGCCCTTTCTCAGCTCATCTTCTAAACCAAAATACAGGCAAATTCAGGCTCTTAGTCTTCCTTGCACTCATTCCCAATTGTTGTCTTATCCAACCACTTAAGGATATGCCGTGAATGCGCTCGGAAGGAAAGGAGGAGCAGGAAAATTGATTCACTATTTGTGAGGACCTCCCATATGCAAAGAAGCATTTCGGTTTTGTCGGAGTAGAGAGCATTAAGTAAAACACAGCCCCTGCCCAGTGAAATAGAGAAGGTGACAAGAGCCCAGGGGACCAGTACAAGGCAGAGTACAACACCACACTCCACCAAAGAAACACAGGCTGCTCTGGGGTGGACAGAAGGAAAGAGCCTCCTCTGGTTGGAAAAGTGAAGCTCAAGAGAGAAAAAAGGACTTCATGCAGGAGATGGTGTATGAGTTGAGTGTTGAAGAACAGGTGAAATGTTAATGGGTAGAAATGAGCGGTTAAGCATCCCATCCAGGCAGAGGGAGAAGTACGTATAAGAGCAAAGAAGCAGAGAGGTACAGAAATTTCATGTATTTACTGGAGTGCAAGAGATGAGCAGAGGAATAATAAGAAACATGAAGTAGAGAAAACCAGAAACATGAAGTAGGGCTGTATTTGGGAGGTCATGAGTTCCAGGTGAGGGGAGTATATTTAATTAGATTTGCATCAGAAACAATTAAGATTGTGCAGGGAAGAGCCATAAGCAGCGGCTCAACTTTGGGATGAATAGGGGCCCACAGTGCACAAGGAAAGACCAGAGCCCACAGGAGACACAGACGGGAAAGTCATGAGGGGAGGAGGAGGGTAGAACTAGCATGAAAGCAGTTGACATGGAAAGAAAGGATGGTCTTTAAAGATATTTAAGGGTAGAATCAATAGCATTTGACAACTGGATGTTGGAATGAGGGATGGAAAGCAGACAAAAAACACTAAAAGAAATAGGGAAATAAGGATAAAAAGCAGTTTTGAGAAATAAAAATAAAAGGTCCATTTGACTGTGAACAAGGGGCGTCTGAGATGCAAGCAGGACACCTAGTGAAACCCTTCAGTGCAGGGCTCGAGATGGAAAAGGGGATATTGCTTCGCTTCCTTTATCAAGTGTGCATTGAGGGCCTACATAGGACCCCAAAAGACTGGAGATATGGAGGTGAGCAAGCCAGCCATGATCCCCGCTTTCATGGAGCTTGCAGTCTAGAGGAAGAGACAGATATTAAACACATACCCACTTCAGGTATCAGTGAAACGTTCTCGTGGATAAAGAGATATTTAATCCAGAACCCAATGGGTGAGTAAGAACCACAAGAAGATCCATGTATTAAACAGGGAAGGGAAATTGTAAAGTCATCAGGTGATGTGTTTCTCAAAGTAGTCCGTAGAAGAGCCAGAAGTGAGGCAGTGCATGGAGGGAGAAATATGGAGGACATCTTTTGGTCTTTAGAACATCTGTGGTAGTTGTGGTGGCCATGCTCTGGTTCCTTAGCCCTACTCCCCAAAGGCATATGTCCCAGCCTAGATGTTATGACAACTCGTTTCAGAATAAATTGAAGTAACCAAGCCACCATGTATACATGAAAATACCCAGAGTTTCTTAAAACACAATACATTGCTTGATAAATATTGTTTTAAAATCTACCTGTGTGGGAGGGACACCTCTTTAAGGGAGAAAGCTGCTTGAAGACCCTATTTTATTCTTACCATTTATTACCAATCACAGGCTGAAACAGGTTAAAGAGGAATCGCATTTGTGCTGCTTACGTTAATCCTGACATTGGTTTCTTTCTCACCTCTTGGCATAGCCTTGACACAGATTTGACCTATCCCATGATTTCAGCTGGGAGTTTTGGCTTGTCATGTGACTATAAAGAGACTTTAACCAGGCTGATGTCTCCAGCTAGGAAGCTGTTGTACTTCTTGGTTAACTTTTGGAAGGCCAATCATTTGCCATTCAAAGATTTCTCCTGGAACACTGCATATGTTTTCAAGAATGGCACCGAGACCGAGGACTGTTTCTGGTAAGCAAGACCTTTAATATGCTTCTGGCCCTTGCTGTGGAGAGAAGCCACAGAATCCTGGCTGGTTATTATCAGATGCTCCTTCCATCTATAAAAGCACTCGGAATGGACACTAGCCCACCTTCTTACACACATGAAAGCAAAGGGGTCAAAGGAAACTATAAATGTAATCAGCATGTATGATATTTGCAACACTCTGCTTTTCCAAGTACGTTCACATTACGTTTGTGGACTCCCTACAGTAAATCCTCTAGAGAAAAGAGAACAAGTACTATAACCTCCATTTTGCACATAAGGACCATGAAAACCAGTGGTTACTGCTTTCACATTACGGTCCAAGATATAATACCAGAGAATATGCATCTGCCACTACCTACCACTGGTTAGAAATAGTTTTCGCATAGTTTTTCAGAGGACTGAGTGGGCCAGAAGGAGAACGGGACATTGGGCACCATGGCTACAATAAAATTACTAGATTCACATAGCTCTAGCAGAGGTGGCAGAAAGAATCTTCTGGTTGGATTACCATAGCACCACCAGGCTGCTGCTTAGCTCCGCACTCTCTCCACCCAAGTATGCGAAAGACTAAGGGTACCACTGGGAACACACAACTAGGGAATCGCAAGAACCAACCCTAAGGCCTTGTTCTAGAAACTTTGGGGTGAACTTAGAACCCGGGAAAGTCCATTTCCCTGGGAGGATAAAAGATTTCTATCAACTCTGAATTTTCGTACTATAGACTCAATGGGTTTCAACTTGTCTGTGATAATGGGGTTTATAGAGCAGAGCGGCCTTCCTCCTGCACATAGCAGGAAGCCATTATAAGGGACCTGCCAAATATCTACCATTTGTATAGATACATGAAGATTCCCTAAAACTTCTCCATACTTATACTAAACTACATGTCCGCAATCCAGACCATTGATACCATATTGTATATCGTCTGTTGTGTTGATAGTGAATGAATTTTAGATGAACAAGTTCCAGGAGAGATCTGTAAACCATGAGCAAACAACATTGGAGGCCATGAAGAAACTAAGCTGGTTTCTTAGAGTTTGTCTTTTATCTGCTTAGGTACCTCAATGCTCTGGAGGCTGGAGTGTCCTATTTTTCTCAGGAACTCAGCCTCAAGGAAATGCTGAGGGGAAATGACCAGTTTCAGGATATCTTAACGAACCAGAACCGGAAAAGCAATGGTAAGGAGACATGGAGATAATTTTTTGCCAACTTCTTCCTCACAACTACCACTCACTTTATGAGTGGTTTTGACAGATCTACCACTGTAGATAATAATGCTGCCGTCGTTACCTCCATACATTTTGTTCACTTGAGGAGATCTCGAGTTGCATGCAACTCCACCATACTGTTCCTCCTGTTAATTAAAACCTTATCCTATGAGAGAAAGGAGGAAGGTAATTAAATATAATGTGAAAGTAATAATGAAAGCCTAGCCTTTATAAGCCAAAATGACATCATGACCCACCATCGATAAACTGCTTTTTAAGTTGACCTCAGTGCCATCTGTTATTGGATTTGTGACTAATCCTCACATATTCTGAACCCTGGTCCCATGATGACCAAGAGGATATGTTTTTTGATATCTGGCCTCAATTAAAATTATAAGGTTAGCAGATCATCTCACTTTCCTCTGTCCCTGTACTTACGGGCCCGGGGATCTCCCAGTTACAGGTCAAGTATGGGATAAAATCATCCTTATTTTGTTTCACTTTCCAAAAATTATCTTTACAAATAAGAATATATCAGGAGCAAAGGAATCAATTGCGGACCTTTCCTACAAGGGAAGGTGCTTGCTTGGCAGGAATTCCTAGTAGGACTCAAATCATCATCTGCTGTCATTATTAAGCTTTTGCCATATTGAGAATCTTCCATGTACAACAACAGCAACAACAACAAAAAAGAAAATTCCATGTGCAAAACATTGCCAAGATGTGGGAGAAAAAGAAGCATAAATGCCCCTTAAAAGAAGTATTCATGTCCCTAAGGTGTTTACAATTCAACTGGACAACATAGTATATAAAAAGATCCAGTGGGCACATGGGTGGCTCAGTTGGTTAAGCCACTGCCTTCACCTCAGGTCATGATCCCAGAGTCCCAGGATCAAGTCCCTCATCCAGCTCCCAGCTCTGTGGGGAGTCTGCTTCTCCCTCTGACCTTCTCCCCTCTCATGCTCTCTCTCACTCTCTCTCTTTCAAATAAATAAATAAAATCTTTTTAAAAATTAAAAAATTTTAAAAAATAAAAAGATCCAATGAAGTGTCCCCCAACTCCTCTTTCTCATAGTCACACATTTGGGAAATCTGGTGGCCAAGAGTGGCAAAACTCACTCTCACTCTCTCAGATAAATAAATAAATAAAATCTTTAAAAAAATAAAAAGATCCAGTGAAGTGTCCCCCAACTCCTCTTTCTCATAGTCACACATTCAGGAAATCTGGTGGCAAAGAGTGGTAAAGCTCACAGAATCAGATTGGACTCTGACACTGAATCCCTAAGACTGAGTTCTGAGTTAAGAAGCTATAAACAGGGGTGCCTGGGTGGCTCAGTCAGTTAAGCATCTGCCTTCGGCTCAGGTCATGATCCCAGAGTCCTGGGATTGAGCCCCATGTCGGGTTTCCTGCTCAGTGGGAAGCCTGCTTCTCCCTCTCCATCTCCCCCTGCTTGTGTCCCCTCTCTCACTATCTTTCTCTCTGTCAAATAGATAAATAAAATCTTTTAAAAAGAAAAAGAAGCAGCAGCAGCTATAAACAAAGCCCAAAGAAAGTTGCTTAGGAGCACTACGTAAATTCTCTCACTCAACTATATTTTTTTCACAGTTGCTGAGGTGTACTTCACTTATGAATGAAATAGTTTTTGTAACTAGTCCAACCTGGTAAAATGGAATAAACACTGAACCAGATTCATAAACTTGACAATTAGAGCTCTGCCATCGACTCATTTTTTAACCCTCTGACATCTTGGCTTCCAGTCTCCTTAAATCAATAAAATTAAGGGAATGGACCAGAGGATTCTCTTTAAGATCCTTTACAGCTCTACTCTGACTCTACGCCGGTAAACAAAACAAAACAAAAATCGGAAGACAGAGTAATTGAAGAATTGATGTTAATCTTAAAACATAAATGTAGCATGCACATACTGGGTTCAGATTCAGATAACTGGTTCCCACCTGTTTGTATATAGACCATTGTGTATTTCCCTCCCTGTCTTGTTCTCTCTCCTCCAGTGATTGTTATGTGTGGTTCACCAAGCATCATTGGCAACCTCAGGGGGGACCGGGCAGTGGCTGAAGACATTGTCATTATTCTAGTGGATCTATTCAAGTAGGTACAATATGGGAAAGAACTCTCCTCTTTTCAGAAAGACTCCCAGGATTTCCAGAAGATGCATTCTCTTTTCTCTTGCTTCTCACAGATTCGCATGGGGGTCAGTATGATAATATTTTAATCAATGTTTTATTCTTTCAACACACTGTCATATTGATTTAATTAACTGTAGCCTTAGCAGACATCTATACCTTTGACATCACTATCATGTCTAAAACAGAAGTGTAATGACCCATTAAACCCACATGTCCATTCATCTACACAGACCCTGGTCTCCAGCCTGATTGTAAGGTATTTTTCCAGGCAGTGATAAATCAACTAATAACCCAGTAGCATTATTTTTGAGAATGTGGACCATATCTCTGCCTTCTATTGCTAATGACCTTTGATCCTAGATGATTTTTCCTTTGCCACCTTTGGTAAGAAGAAAGTTCTAGTTAAATGAGTTTGCTGTTGGGGCACCTGGGTGGCTCAGTTGGTTAAGCATCTCCCTTCAGCTCAGGTCATGATCCTGGGGTTCTGGAATCAGGCACCACATCAGTCTCCCTGCTCAGCCTGGAGCCTGCTTCTCCCTCTCCCTCTGCCTGCCACCCTGTCTACTTATATACTCTCTCTCTATCTCTCTGTCAAATAAAGAAAAAAAATCTTCAAAAAAAAAAAAAAAGAATTTGCTTTTTTGCCATCTGTGGTACAGCCACAGTGGTGATTTTATCCTCTGTAATTCTCTGGAACTAAGGAGAGAAAATTCTGGAGAATACAAACCTCTCCCATTTTCGTTTGTTCATTCCTTCCTTCATTTTCTTTCTTTCTTTCATTCTTCCTTTCCTTATATTTCAATTTTTATTTTTTAAATTAGAGTATAATTAACAGTGTTATATTTTACCACTCATCTTCTAATATGGTTGGAGAGCCAACAAACCATGCCAAGAAAGTTAGTGTCTAAGTCAGAGTAAGTTTATAGAAGGTGTCTCTGGTGCATCTGTGCCCCTTGCCCCATTAACTAGATCATATGATCTCACTTATCTGACCACATCATTAATCATTACCTGTCTGTACTCAGACTGGATACTGTTACTGCACTGATATCTCCCTTATTTGCCTAGTCATCTCACCCACACTGTATGTGCTTGTCTCAGTGTTAAGAGGAATGAAGCATAGGAACTGCAGGCCTATTTGATTACTAGTTGTTCATAAAGATAATCTAATCAATCAACTTTAGCTGCAAAATACAGGAAAGAGGGCAAAGTTGTTGATATTTCATTCCTACAGTCACATTGACAGCTTCTTTCAATAGTTGCTTTGCCCTCTGGAAGGAGTCCTTGATATAGCCGGGTTGGTGTTATCTTACTTTTAGCAAATTCTCAACCAGCTGACAAAGTGTTGGCATCCCTTTGTCACTGTTCTCAAAGGACACTTGGGTATGTTTGGGGAAGATCGTGAGATTCATTTGAAAATTGACATTAACTGGGTTTCGAATTCTAATTCTCACACTTCGGGTCATTTGACTCTTTTTTTTTTTTTTTCTGGACAGTTGATTAATTTCTTTTATTTCTTGGGTTTCCCAAAATCACACCTCAGTTAAACAATTTTTTTTTAAACTGTCCATCTGGAGTTCATTTAACTCTTGGGTATTACTTAGAATCTTGAGATTAAAACTTCTCTTTTGTAAAACGAGAATAAAGAGGCCCACTTCATAGGAGGGCTTTTAGGATTAGATGTGATAATATGAGCAAAATATTCAACCTAGTCCCCAGAGCATAGATGTGTTCACCTATTGTTTGCATAGTAAATGATGGTTATCCTAGTTATAGAAGTTCAAACATGTCAGATTCTTGCATATTAAAACACTCAAATGATTTGGAAGTTTAGAATTGCAACACAATCTTAGACCGTATTGACGGTCCAGGGTGGGCCAACTATTGCCTAGGATTGGGGATACACAACCATACACTAACATCAAAGAGCTTACAGCATTAGAGAAAATGTTTAGTCTTTTCATACTCATGTTTCACCATAAATTTAATTCATAAAATTTCTCTGTATCCTATCCCAGTATATCTGGGATATTATGAGCACATAAAAGAAAGTTTCCACATATAAACTAAAAGTCAGTAAGCCTTGAAAGCAAGCACTAGCTCACATGTCCAGAGCTCAAAAAACCTCCCTCGAAGAAGTCTCTATGTTCTGATCTTCCTTCCCACTTGTGGGTGTGAAGCAAGCACAGCCCTCTGACCCAGCCTAGCACATCATACATCAGAAACCCTATCTGGGGAGGCAGACAGTTGTCCAGGATACTAGAAAAAAAAATGTTTTCAACTATTTCAAGGCTGATGCTATAGTTTGTGGGAGTTGTAGAAGCTCCGTATGATTTTTGGAGGAACCTAGTTTTCATGAGGAAATTGTGCTTTTTATTACAGTAACCATTACTTCACGGAAAATGTCACAGCCCCCGACTATATGAAAAATGTCCTTGTCCTGACATTGCCTCCTGGGAATTTCACCTCCATTAGCTCTTTCTCCAGGGGTTTATCACAGGTAAGTTTCATGAGTACTACTCTTTTCTTTGTCAAGGGTAAGATATTATTCTCCTATGTAAGACCCAAATTCTAAAGTAGCAATTTTTTTTTTTTTTACTCCCATTCACTCAACAAATTTTAACTGAGATCAACTATGTGCAAGATTACTGATATTAAAGCTCTTACCATAGGTCACTGTGCTGGGCTCTGGACCAACACAACAATTATAACAATTGTTACATCAGAATGGAAGTGACACTGTGGGAAGACAGGAAGAAATCCTGTTAATTGAAGGAGGGTAGAACATTTAACTGGACATTAAATCCTGGCCACCTTATTATAATGCAGGAGCCCCTGACCCTAATACCGCCTTGGGCCTTGTCAGTCACTGCACCTATAGTGTGAACAAATTCATCAGATATATTCTGCTCTCAGTGTCAGCTGAGAGCAGGTTTGGACTGGGAAGAGAAAGGAAGAGAAAGAGATGTTGAGGACCATCAACAACCTTGGGATGGCAAGCCACAGACCAGGCCCAAAGAGCTATAGGGGAAGTTGGGTACCGTAGGGAGTCTCACAGTTTTTTCCTGGACTAGCAGTTCTAAACCCTCTGTTTTACAACCCTACCAAAATTAGGAGCTGAAACCACTTCTGGGGTTGGATCTTAAATGGGTTCTTTTGGTTTCATGAAAAGATGATTTCAGCAAAAACATTGAAACCAATGAGAGACGTTTTCTTTTTTTTCTTTTTATATTTCTAACAAATATATTTCTGGGTGTAATATTCCAATATCACTTGCCCAGCTGCTAGGCTCTGGCAAAAGTGTCATTCTTCACAGGTGGGCAGTCTAAAATGCCCAAGCTGACAGAATTTACTTGGTCTCGGGGGCATAAGACTTTTAATCCCCAGCCCAACTCTATGATAACCACCATGCAACTGTCGAGAACTGTCTTCAAAGCAAGTTCAATGATATTATCCAGTCAACTCCCTTCCTGCCCCATTCAGGGTGCTGAAGGGCAAAAGTTGTTTTTACTGTTGTTCTCTTTTACTTTTTGTGAAAACATTACACTACAAGCAAACATTTTTTCTATATAAAATCTCACAAGAATTATGACAGTGCTTCATGCTGTTCTTCCTCATTAAAATGAAAGATTTCAGGATCATGGGAAGAAAATACAATTTCTTTTAGTTACTTCCCTAAAGACAGTGTTCCAGTTTTATTGATTGCCAAGGAAAGGCAGAATTTTGACGCAGGGCTAATAAAAGAGCCTTGGCTCAAGGACATAGTTTCCTAAAGACTTCTTTAATTTCACCCCTACCATTCTCCTAATATCCCTTTACCTTTCCAGTTACTCTGCTGACCCCAAGAATGTTTTGCTCCAGGCTCAAGACCAGAATCTCTTTTGGGGAACTCATTTTAAGATTTTTCTTTCCAATTCAGGCAAAAAATAACTTTGCTCTTGCCTACTTGAATGGAATCTTGCTATTTGGACATGTGCTGAAGACATATCTTGAAAATGGAGAAGCTATTACCACCCCCAAATTTGCTCAGGCTTTCAGGAACCTCACTTTTGAAGGTACTGGTTTCCTAAAAGCAGACAACAACAGCAACAAAACTTAACTAACACTTTCTGCAGAAAGCTGAAGAAATTCAGGCTTTATGGACAGACTTTGGGAAGCAAAGAGGAGGGTTGGCCATAGATAGATCAATAGCTAAACTTGGAATTTACTTGGATATAAACAACATTGCATACATTTGAGGGTTGCTATTATTGATATCTGGACCCCAGTTTATGCTTCAGGATATCAGAATCTTTCAATACTAAAGAAAGAGCATATGGCCTGGACTTTGTACTTATGAACAAACTCATCACAAGTCATCTTGGACAGTGATGTCCTGACTGTGCTTAGAGACTAGCAAGAAGAGAAATCTCTGCAGTTTGATTTTGGTCCTTCCATATCTCCTTTCTATCCTTTAGGGATCTGGGACCCTGTATTACTCTCAAACTACCAAAACCTCTCATAACAATATTACCCCAAAGTTCCCAACACATGTTCTGAGTGTGAAGTTTGCTTACTGTAATTTTAAATTGCCTCTCCCTAATTGCTATTGAATAGTGATATCAAGCACCTGTTCATGTGCTTATAGGCCATTTGTGTGTGTTCTTTAGAAAATATCTCTTCAAGACTTTGCCCCTTTTTGACTTGTTGACTTGTTTGGCTTTTGTCTGGGTATGAATAGCCAATGAGATATATGATTTGCAAATATTTTCTCCTATTTTGTGAGTTGCCTTTTTACACTGTTGATAATGTCTTCATGCACAAAGTTTTTAAATCTTCACAAAGTCCAATTTGGCTATTTTTTCATTGGTTGCTTGTGCCTTTAGTATCATATCCAAGAAATCAGGGCCAAATCCAGCGTCAAAAAGCTTTGTTATGTGTTTTCTTCTAAGAGTTTTATACTTGTAGGTTTACAATTAGGTCATGGATGCATTTTGAGCTATATGGATATCCAATTTTTCCAGCACCATTTGTTAAAGATTCTCTTTTCTCCCAGTGAATGGTCTTGTCACTCTTAGCGAAAATCACCTGACCATATATGTAAGGGTTGATTTCTGGACATCCTATTCTATTCCATTTGTATACACATCTGACTTTATGCCAGTACCATACTGTTTTGATTACTGTAGCTTTGTAGCAAGTTCTGAAATTAAGAACTTAGTCCTTCAGCTTTGTTCTTCTTTTTCAAGATTGTCTTGACTATTTAGGGTCTTTTGAGATTCCATATGAATTTTAAGATGGCTTTTCCTATTTCTGCAAAGAAAAAAATCATTATTTGACAGGGATTGTATTAAATCTGTAGACTGCTTTGGGTAATACAGACTTCTTAACGATATTGTCTTCCAACAATATGGAGCAAAATGGAAACATGGAGGTTTCCATTTATTTTTATCTTCTCCAATTGTCTGCAGAAATACTTTATAGGTTTGTTTTTTTTGTTGTTTTTTTTTTGGTACAAGTCTAGTTTGTCTGATATTAGCATATGAATATACTACTCTGTTTCTGTCACTCTCTTTCAGTTACTATTTGCATAGAATATCCTTTTCCATCCTTTCTCTTTCATCCTATTTGTGATTTTGAATCTAAAATGCATCTCTTATAGATATTATATAGAATTATTTTTTTAAGATATTCCCTAGTCTCTATCCTTGGAGAATTTAATCTATTTTATATTTAAAGTAATTACTGATAGTGGAGATTTACTTTTATCATTTTGCTCTTTGTTGTTTGTTGTCTTAGAGCTTTTTTTGTCTCTGATTATCTGCATTATTGTCTTCTTTTATGGGTAGTTGATTTATTTTGTAGTGGAATGTTTGAATTCCTGTCTTATTGTGTTGTTTATACTCTTCAACCATTTTCTTTGTAGTTACTATGGATATTATAGTTAACACCCTAAGGTTATTACATTCTAATTTGACTTTATACCAGTTTAACTTCAATAATATCCAAAACCTCTACTCCTTTAATACTTCCATACCCACCTTCTTCTGACGTTGACGCAAATTGATGCAAAATTACATCTTTATACGTGTGTGTCCAAAAACATAACTCATGATGTTTTAAACACTAGTCTCTTAAATTATATCAAAAAAGTAGAGTTACAAACCAAAGTTACAATAGTGGTAGTTTTTAGAATAGTTTTAAAAAACATATTCATCTCCTAAATCATGTAGAAAGCAAAAAGTGGAATTAAAGACTATTGTTGTATTAATGCTAGATGTTATAATGGCCCCTGTATCTGCCTTTACTGAGATCTTTATTTCCTCGTTTGGCTTCAAGTTATTGTCCAGTGTTCTTTCACTTCAACCTATAGGGCAACCTTTAACATTTCTCCCAGGGCAGGTTCTGGTGGTTACAAACTCAGCTTTTGCTTATCTCAGAATGTCTTAGTTTCCCCCTCATTTTTGACAGATTCGTTTGATAAAGAATTCTTGGATGAAAGTGTTTGTTTCATCAAATTTGAAAATTTTGGGCCATTATTTCTTGAGATATTCTCTTTACCCCTTTCTCTTCTTCTTCTTCTTCTGCTGGTTCTTCTTCTTCTGCTGCTGCTTCTTCTTCTTCTTCTTCTTCTTCTTCTTCTTCTTCTTCTTCTTCTTCGACTTCCTCAGCACATATGGTGTTCTGCTTGATGGTGTTACACGGGCTCTGTTCACTTCACTTTTTTTCTCTTCCTCAGATTTGATAATTTCCATTGTCCTATCTTTAAGTTCACTGATTCTTTCTTCTACCTGCTCAGATCTGCCTTTGAATCTCCTTAGTGAGTTTTTCATTTCAGCTATTGTACTTTTCAGTTCTAGAATTTCCTCTGGTTTTCCTTCTCTTTATTGATATTTCCCTTTTGTTCTTACGTCATTTTCCTGACTTTATGTATGTCCTCTTTTAGTTCTTTGAGCATCTTTAAGATAGTTTTAAAGCCTTTGTCCATTAGATCCACCATCAGGTCTTTTTCAGGGATAGTTTCTCTTGGTTTATTCCTTTTTCTTTTGATTGGGCAAGACTTTCATGTTTCTTTGTCTGCCTTGTAATACTTTGTTGACAACTAGATATTTGAATTCTAATAATTTGATTCTAATAATCCTAGAAATCACATGGTAAATGGAGAATTTTTACTGGTTTAGTAAATATTCTTAGCAAAAACTTTTTCACTAATTAGATTTAACTGGCTGATTATATTTTCATCCTAACTGCAATGCAAAAATGTTCTCTTCTAACTAAATACTAAATAGCATGTCTCTTAAAAATATCCATCAGAGATCTCAGGGCCAAGAGCCAATGAATGTTCCTTCTGATTAGCTCACTAACATAGTTTTTCAGTAAAATAGAGCAATCTGAACCTATTCTATACACAGTGTAAGGATCTAACTCGTTTTTCAGTCAAAAAGTCAAAGGATAACTCCAGCTTTTTCTGATTTTGCCCTAGGGCATGCAGGTCCTGTGACTTTGGACGACTGTGGGGATATTGACAACACTATGGTGCTTCTGTATACTTCTGTGGAAACCAACAAAGTATGTCTAACTTCTTATCAGGAACTTGGGGTGAAGGGACTAGATGAAGAAGGATAACTACAAGGCGAGTTATAGCAAAGGAATCAGAGAAGTTGTGTTTAAAATCTGCAAGTTATTTATTTCAGTCACAATTATGACCTACTTAGGACTGTATCCTTTAAACATTTTGACCCATACCTTATTTAGAATGTCTACACTCTATTGGCTATATAAAATACCCACCCAGAATACATTGATATAAAGACCAGACTATTGATGGGATACCAATGAGAGGATGACTGTGCTTTTCTAAGAATTGTTTATTCATTTCCACAGCTAAAAATTACAAAGAAACATTCTTATTCTCTCCATCTGAACTCATGAAAATCATTAATTTTGCATCTTTCTGACACATATAAACAGTCCTATGATGTCATGCTCTTATTCACGTTATCTCTTTTCTCCTCACCTACATATAGGTTCTTTAAGGAAAGGAATGGGTCTTACTTCTCTATGCCTCCAGTGCTTGGCTTCTTATATGCCATATAGTTGATGACTGATCAGCTTTTAATTTAAAAATAAAACACCTGTCTCTATGTCACCCAAAGTTGTGCCCATCACAAAGTATGAAAGCCCCTGTTCTGCCAACCAAATGGTCAGTAGAAAGTTTTTTTTTAAGACATCATGTCTTGACATAACTAGGAATCTAAGAGAAAAAATTATTCATTTTTTCATGTGATTTTCCGATGTCATTATCACATCTTTAAGTCATATATTTAGTGCATATATTGACCCACTTTCTTAAAAAATATCTGTAATGGAAAATGTGGAAAGGAGAGGGAAGATGTCTAGATTGAGAAAGTTAAACCAGAAATTTGGGGGCAACGTTTCAGAAAAGTACTCCGTAGTTTTCAGTTACTATAAAAACCTTGAATTTAATGCTCTATTTCACATACACTTCATGGGAATACTTTAAAATAAAGTCTCATCAATGCTCCTGTTATTATAGTAACTATAAAGAGAACTATACTCTTCTTTAAGTTATTTATGTCTGGGATGATGCTCTTGGAGAGAAGCAAATGCATGTAGAAAGATCCCACATCAGCCTCATAACTGCTCTTCAGTATGAAAAATGTTCTGTGCACTCATTCTGTCTGAAGGAAAATCTAGCTGAATTTTTCAATGAAGGCAAATGTAGTTGAATTTTTTGATGATTTAATGCCATCAATTGTGCTGTATTATATGTATATGTAGGGAAACCAGGGATTCGTTCTCAAAACACAGGGATATGAATAAGTTATTCTGTATCCAGAGGAAGTCTCAATAGAGATCAATGTACTACCCTCTAATATTAGGATATTTACTACACTTAGTATATGCAATTATAGATCATGCTCTCAAGTTAAAAGTATATTTCTAAAGATGGAAAACTTTTATCCAGGAAGTTTTGAGGGAATGGTGTTGAATTTAGAACAATGGTCATTATATGCAGCAGCAATAAAAGGATGTACTAATATATCCCATCAGCAGATTGCTGAAAAAGAAAACTTTTATTTCAGAAACCTAATTAGTATCACATACAAGATAGCACATTAGAGCAAAAGGATAGAAGAGATTTGAAAATTATGTAATTGACAAATTTAAACATGAATTATTTCAGAGCCTCTTGATATGCCAAAATGGGTAATGAATGGATTTTAGCTGTAGTGCATTTTCTCAAGATACTATTTTCAGTAGCAACTTAATATTGTGAAAAATATTGGTACTTCACTTATCTTGTGACTTGGAGCTAACTATTTAATTTCTTTTGGTCTCTATTTAAACTTTTTTGTAATATGAGAGACTTGAACTAGTTCTCTAAAGACCCAAGGAATCCATGTTGGGTAGGAGTTACTGGTATGAGCATAAAGTAGCATACGATTGTAAAGAAACAAAAATAATTGACCCACCTGAAGCTTAACTCTACTTTCATGCTGTGAACTAATAAATAGTTGCTAACTAGCTAGCTCCTGGCTGCTAAACATTACTTTGTTTCGCTGAGAATTGTTACTATGAAATTCAAGTGTCATTGGGCAGGACCATCTCATCAGAAGTCGTTCTAAAATGTCTTTTTCTGCTCATCCTTCTTCTTTTTCATGCCCTGACACAGTACAGGGTTCTCTTGAGCTATGACACCCATATAAATAAGACTACCCCAGTGGCTAACAACCCCATGTTCATCTGGATGAACCACAAACTTCCTAATGATCTCCCAGGCCAGGGTAAGATATCCTTTAGTGAATTTTGTTTCCATGAAGTTGCTCTTCAGGTAAGGTAAGTACATTCAATGGTTTATGCAATTAGCACGCGTTTTTATGTTTTCATTTGTTTTGTTTGTTGTCTAAATTAGATTTGCCAAGTTTGTAAAATGTGGACTTTACTTCCCTGCCTAATGAATATTACCTTTCTGATTAAACACTGAAAATATCCCTAATCTAATTTAGCTATACCTCTCTTTAATACATGCCCTACCTACCAACAAAATTTATCCTATAGAAAATTAAACTTGACAGTTGGCAAAATGAACACAAAGACATGTATTCTTTCTTTTTTTTTGTAAAGATTTTATTTATTTGACAGAGAGATCACAAGTAGGCAGAGAGGCAGGCAGAGAGAGAGGAGAAAGCAGGCTCCCTACTGAGCAGAGAGCCCGATGTGGGGCTCGATCCCAGGACCCTGAGATCATGACCTGAGCCGAAGGCAGAGGCTTAACCCACTGAGCCACCCAGGCACCCTGAGACATGTATTCTTAATACCACTTATTCCATTTTATCGCAATAAACTCAAAGTATACATATTTCAGCAAAGAACACAAGATGCCATTAGCTATTGGTCATCAGTGAGCATGGCTTCAAAAGTCTCCCCGATTTCCTCATCGGATGCATACTTGGGTTATCATGATGGCTACCCACCTACTTAAAATGAGTTCCTGTCATGTCATGGAAAGCCCTACCATGAGCAGGACTTCACCCATGCGACTACCGATGCAACCACCTAACATTTGCCATCACTGGACAGGACCAGCCAGGTATGTCCTGGACAACAATGTCTCAGGAAAATCTGGCTTAGCCAAGGCTTATGACAATGAATAGTAAGTAATTTCATGTTACTAATCTATTTCTTGAGAAAAAAAGTTAAAATTTGGACAAATATTTATGCCCAAAGATGCAAAAAAAAAAAAAGGAAGAAACATTAACAAAACTATTTAGCAAATGATGATATATCCAAAATAGAATATCATAAGCCAATTAAAATAATTATTTACAAAGAATTTTAAATGACATAGGAAAACTTATAAGGTAAATTAACAGGAAAATAAACAACTTTTTATTTAATGAGATTCTGACTTTGTAAAAACAATGTTAGAAATAGACTGTAAAGAAATATTCTAAAATGTTAACAGTGGTTGCTTCTGAGTAATAGGATCCTAGAAATATTTAGTATTTGTTTGTTTGTTTGGTTCATTGGTTGGTTGGTTGGGACTTTTCTTTTCTTTTTTTGCTATTTTATGTTTTTCTTAATTTTCCAAGTTTTTCCATAATGAGTATATTAATTTACCACTTTTAAATATTAAAAAATAAACTAGAACTATTTCTCTCCCAGTCCTGGTCTGTAGCCAGAAACTGAGGCTGATATGATATAAAGAGAAAAGTTCTGATTTGATGCACTTGATTGTGTTAATGTGTTTGACACACTTACTATGTTTTCAGTCCTCTTGCATCCCATGAGTCAAATATGGTTAAAAATGATTCTTGTATTTTTATTCAGTAGCCATGAGCAGTTGGCTAAAGCAAAGAAGCAAGGAGGAGGTGGGAAGTGAGGTTCCCACTCTTCTAAACAATAAGCAATCCTGAGCTGATTTCAAGTTTACTGTTATCATTTTTCAAGTTTTTATTTTAATTCTGGTTAGTTAACATACAGTGTTAATTAGTTTGAGGTGTTCAGTATAGTGATTCAGCACTTCCATACATCCCCCTGTGCTCATCACAGCAACTGTCCTCCTTCATCCCCATCACCTATTTCACCCATGCCCACATCTCCCTCTCCTCTGATAACCATAAGATTGTTCTCTATAATTAAGAGTTTCTTTCTTGCTTTCTCTCTCTCTTTCTCTCTGTCCCCTTGGCTTGTTGATTTTGTTTCTTAAATTCCACATATGAGTGAAATAATATAGTATTTCTTTTTCTCTTCTTTCGCTTAGCATTATGCTCTCTAACTCTCTAACTCTCTATACTCTCTAACTCCATCCATGTCATTGCCAATAGCAAGATTTCATTCTTTTTTATGGCTGACTAATATTCCATTTCATATAAAGATGTGACATATATAAATATATATTTATTAATTATATTTTATAGTTATGTTAATTATAATATACTATGCTGTTATATGTTTATATGTAAATTTTTATATATTATATAATTTACATATATCTATACATATACATATATACATATAATATATAATATACATATATAAATGTATATATAAAATATATATTACATATAATAATTATAATAATATATGTCTGTTCATGTCTTCTGCCCATTTTTAAATATTTTAAAAATATTTTATTTATTTATTTGACAGAGAGAGACATCACAAATAGGCAGAGAGGCAGGCAGAAGGTGGAGGGGGGGAAGCAGGCTCCCTGCTGAGCAGAGAGCCTGATGCAGGGCTCCATCCCAGGACCCTAAGACCACAGCCTGAGCCGAAGGCAGAGGCTTAACCCACTGAGCTGCCCAGGTGCCACTTCTGCCCATTTTTAACTGGATTGTCGTTTCAGTGTTTTCTAAGTTCTCAATGTATTTTGGATCCTAACATTTTATTGGATATGTCATTGGCAAATATCTTCTCCCTTTCTGTAGATTGCCTTTTAGTTTTGTTGATTGTTTCCTTCGCTCTGCAGAGCCTTTTATTTTTATGTAGTCCCAAGAACTTGCTTTTGCTTTTGTTTCCCTTGCCTGAGGAGACATACCTATAAAGAAATTGCATGACTGATGTCAAAGAAGTTACTGCCTCTGTTCTCTTCTAGGACTTTTGTGGTTTCAGGTCTCATCTTTAGGTCTTTAATCCTATTCCAAATAATAAGATACCTAGGAATAAACCTAACCAAAGAGGTGAAAGACCTGTACTCTGAAAACTGTAAAACATTGATGAAATTGAAGACGACACAAAGAAATGAAAAGATGTTCCATGGTTATGTATTGGAAGAACAAATATTATTAAAATGTCCATACTATCCGAAGCAATCTACACATTTAAGTCAATCCCTATCAAAATACAAACAGCATTTTTCCAGATCTAGACCAATCTTAAAATTTGTATGGGCCCACAAAAGACTCCCAATATCCAAAGCAATCTTGAAAAAGAAAAACAATACTATCATTGCCTTTTAAAGTTGACTTCTTTTCATTAACAAGCTTTTTATTTTAAATTATCTCTAGAACCAACTGCAAGATTTGTAAGTTTAAACCAAACTTACTTTTGAAACATATCTCTTTTCTCATGGGTTTCTGCAACTCTCTGCTTTTTTCTTTTGTAACTTTTGGAATTACAATTATTTTTTTCTTATATTTCTTATTTTCTTGTATTTCTTGTTTGTTTGGTTCATTGCTTGGTTGGTTGGTTGGGACTTTTTCTTTTTTTTTTTTTTGCTATTTTATTATTTTTTTATTTTTTATGTTCCCTTATTATAGTGACAATATTAGTTTGTATTTTTAATGTATTTCTTTAAGAGTTTTTAGGTATTTTTTATTCAGTAGAATGATCTGTTCTTTGTAAAATGCTCAACTTCTCAAAAAGCAATTTTAAAAAATATTTTATGTATTTATTTGAGCAAGAGAGAACATGAGTGGGTAGGTGTGGAGAGGAAGAAGCAAACTCCCCACTGAGCAGGGAGCCCGATGTGAGGCTCCATACCAGGACCCTGGGATCATGACCTGAGCCAAAGGCAGACACTTAACCCACTGAGCCACCCAGACACCCTTCAAAAAGTAATTTTTGAGAGAGCTCTCCTTATTTACCCCAAAGAGATCACATTAAATATTCACATTATATTATTCTTATTACAGGGACATTGTATCATTCTGAGCAACTTCACTTCATCCTCATTTAACCAGAAAATTCATTTAGCCAGAGCTTTTCATTACTCAGCTATTCCTACATTTAATTTTAAACTTTAAAAATAAAGTAACTCAATCTTTCAAATAGTATACCAATAAGATATTCCTCTGGTCTTTTATCTGGATACACAACTGCCCCCTAAGTAACAGAATGTTCATCTGAGATAACATCATCACTGTTATTTCATTCATTCTACAAAGATTTACTAGTGCCATTCAGTGTTCGAAGCACCTGGGACACAGCAATGGACAAGGTACATTTGTTCCTGTTCCTCATCCACACCATCATCATCTGCCTCCTGGGTTACAATAACATCCACCTGACTTCCTGCTTCAGTTCTGCTTCCTGTCTACCTCCCGTCCAACCAACATTGCCACCAGAATGAAAGCGTGGATCCAGTCATGTTGTTACATTTTGCTAACACTCAATTGGCAGCTCCCCTTTAACCATAAAGTCCAAGTGGCTTATTATAGCACAAAATGTCCATTAATCTTCCCTCTTCTCTAGCCTTATCTTTCTTCTTACCTGAAATCCCTTTCCCATTCCTTCAATTTCTACCTACTTCTTAAAAAAAGGGAGGGTGAAGAGTCTTGCAATTTCATGCCCCTGTGCCCTTAGTGATACTAATCTCTCTGATTAAAATGTATCACTCCCCCTGAAGATGAGAAGCTGCTCATCTTCAACATTTAACTTAAATTTCATTTTTCTACGTTCCTCAGCATCCCAGGAGGCTATTGATCTCGCTTACATCCCACCAGACTTCTAACATAGAATTTATATCATACTCACTTGTTTACACATTTTTTAAACCCTACACTGTTTAAATGTAGGGTCTAATCTTTTTTTTTTATTTAAATTCACTTAGCCAACATATAGAACATCATTAGTTTCAGTTGTAGAGTTTAGTGAGTCATCACTTTGCATGTTTAACACCTGGTGCTCATCACATCACGTGCCCTCCTCAATGCCCATTACCCAGTTATCCCATATGCCCACCCACCTCCCCTACAACAACCCTCAGTTTGTTTCCTATGATTAAGAGTCTCTCATGGTTTGTCTCCCTCTCTGATTTCTTCCCATTCCATTTTTCCTCTCTTCCCCTATGATCCTGTTCTGTTTTTTAAATTCTGCATATGAGTGAAACGATATAATTATCTACCTCTGATTGACTTATTTCACTCAGCATAATACCATCCAGTTCCATCCATATCGATGTAAATGGTTAAGATTTCATTCTTTTTGATGGCTGAGTAATATTCCATTGTGTATATATACCACATCTTCTTTAGCCATTCACCTGTTGATGGACATCTCGGCTCTTCCCACAGTTTGGCTATTGTGGAAATTTCTTCTATAAACATTGTGGTGCAGGTGCCCCTTCAGATCACTACATTTGTATCTTTGAGATAAATACCTAGTAGTACAGTTGCTGGGTTGTAGGGTAGCTCTATTTTTAACTTCTTGGGGAACTTCCATACTGTTTGCTTCCCACCAACAGTGTAGGAGGTTCCCCTCTCTGCACATCCTCGCCAACATTTGTTGTTCCGGACTGGTTAATTTTAGCCATTCTGACTGGTGTGAAGTGGTATCTCATTGTGGTTTTGGGTCTATTCTTTATTCACATATGCCCAACAAAGTGCCTTCGAAGGGACGAAGGAAGGAAGGACAATAACTATAAATCCTGAGTTTCTACTCAACACATAGTCACACTGTATTAATTTTAATCAATTTACTTCTCTAAGTGTGAGTTTCTTCCTTCTTCAGATCAGGAGATTTGTTAACTGATTCCAAGATTCTTTCCAACTATCAGATTGTATGACCTGGTTTTATAAACTCATTTTACCATCACTGTCAATCTAATTAAATAGACTGTGATAACCATAGCAGCCACCAGAAGGCAGCTGAAGCTTAACCTTTGAACTAATGTCCCACTGTGACTTGACCAAGCAAAGCTGAAAAATATGTTGAATTAACAACCATTATATTTAAATAGTATACAGTATATTTAAATATCATAAGTATATTTAGTGTGACGAGATGTTCGTGCTGTCGGGGGCAGATATGAATTGAGATGCAGGAGGACCCAGCAGTCAGAAGTCCTCCAGTTCTGCCAATTCACACTGTAGTCTAGGGGATGTGTCATTTCAGTAGACTGATGAGTAGAATTGCTGATGAGTAGAAATTTATTTCTCACACCAACCTTGAGAGTGGTGGTAATAGCATTGGTGGCGGGGGGTGATAGGAGTGATGATTACAGTAATAAACAGAATTCGCACCATCAGATATGCCCATTCAAATGCAAAATACTAATCTGTTTCTGCGTGATGAGAAGAGAAATCCAGAGCTCACATCTTCACTGTTAAAAATTTCCCCCTTAACACTCTTACACTGTTGGTGGGAATGCAAGTTGGTATAGCCACTTCAGAAAACAGTGTGGAGATTCCTCAAAAAATTAAAAATAGAGCTACCCTATGACCCGGCAATTGCACTACTGGGCATTTACCCCAAAGATATAGATGTAGTGAAAAGAAGGGCTACATGCACCCCAATGTTCATAGCAGCAATATCCACAATAGCCAAACTGTGGGAAGAGCTAAGATGCTCTTCAACAAGCAAGTGGATAAAGAAGATATGGTCCATATATACCATGGAATATTATGCCTCCATCAGAAAGGATGAATAACCAACTTCTGTATCAACATGGACAGGACTAGAGGAGATTATGCTAAGTGAAATAAGTCAAGCAGAGAAAGTCAATTATCATATGGTTCCACTTACATGTGGAACATAAGGAATAGCATGAAGGACATTAGGAGAAGGAAGGGAAAAGTGAAGGGGGGAATCAGAGGGGGAGACAAACCGTGAGAGACTGTGGACTCCAAGAAACAAACTGAGGGTTTTAGAGGGGAGGTGGGTGGGGAGCTGGGTGACCCTGGTTGGGGTATTAAGGAGGGCACATATTGAATGGAGCACTGGTTGTTATATGTAAACAATGAATCTTGGAACACTACATCAAAAACTAACGATGTACTGGTATGGTGACCAACGTAAGGTAATAATAATAAAAAAAAAAAATCCCCTTAGCAGAAAACAAGATAAGAAGCAGAGACCAAGGGCTGTGTTAGTTATCAAAGCATAAATCCTTCCAAGTTACCCCTTATAGAAAGCATGGAGACATTTTTAGTGAAGAAAATTCATACATGTGCTGTTAAAATCCAATAGTAAAAATGTTCATAATGGGGGCGCCTGGGTGGCTCAGTGGGTTAAGCCGCTGCCTTCGGCTCAGGTCGTGATCCCAGGTCCTGGATTCAAGCCCCACGTCGGGCTTTCTGCTCAACAGGGAGCCTGCTTCCTCCTCTCTCTCTGCCTGCCTCTCTGCCTACTTGTGATTTCTCTCTGTCAAATAAATAAATAAAATCTTTAAAAAAAAAAAAAATGTTCATAATGGAATGTGAGTGTGCCTGGTCCCTCCTTTGTCAGATCCGGTCTCTGAGTCACTTCTGCCTTTAGTTTGTTGCATATTTCTAAATAATATGCATATATTCATAATTCATATGCATAATAGTATGCATATATTCATAATTGCATATTTCTAAATAATATGCATATATTCATGATTCATAAGCTTTGGATCTTATCTGTTTATTTCTTGTATTGATAAAAGATTTAGTTCATCTTCACCAGCCCTACTTCTTTTCTAACCTTTTCTCAATATAGTTATATTTGTCAGTACATTTGTTGGGTACCTTTGTAATTTTAGTTAATATGCATAAGCTTCTAGTATTGTTCTACCAAACTATATAAAAAACTTCATGGAGCTCCTGGGTGGCTCAGTCGGTTAAGCATCTGCCTTCAGCTCAGGGTATGATCCCAGGGTCCTGGGACCAAGCCCCATGTTGGGCTCCCTGCTCAATGGGGAATCTGCTTGTTCCTCTCCCTCTGCCCTTCTCCCTCCACTTGTTCTCTCTCAGATAAATAAATAAAATCTTTAAAAAATAAAATAAAAGCTTCTTGCTTCCCAGTTTGGTAAGAGGAAGGTATTACTATCTCTATCCTTCCTACTACGTCCTTCCTACCTCCCAGATTCTCCTGTATTTTTCTTTAATTTGTCATAGCCGATAATATTTATTTGGTAACCATATAAACGCTCTGTCATTTACCTATAAGTTGATTCTATAAGTTGAAAATTAGTAACATTTTCATCATTATTATTTATATAAAGCGAAATAAGACTCTATTGCTTAGAATCCATTCCATTTTTCCTTCTTGGACTCACTTCCTATTCTAACCAGAATCCATTGTGGCATATATGAACCATGACTTTCTTGTACAGTTTTACTGTTGCTGTCCTTCTCAGTTTAGCCCTCTTCCTCTGCGTTTTCAGTTTCTGATTCAATGCTTCCTTGGGTTGGATCCCCATTTTCCTGAATTCCACTTGCCTTTCTGTCAGTCTCTTAAATTCCTTCACCTTTACAACTCCACCTGCATATGTGTGCTTTAATAAATTAAATCACTTACATCCTTCATTGACTTCTGTCAATGACCCAGGAGCCCTTGGGAAGAACCAGCAGGCAACACTGACTTTTAATATTCCACAGTGACTGTCTTTTCCTCTGATTGTGCTTGGTATTAAAAAATAGTTGACTCTGGGGCCTCGGGTGGCTCAGTCAGTTAAGTGTCCGACTCTTGATTTCGACTCAGGTCATGATTCAGACTCAGGTCATGATTCAGACAGATTGATTCACGACTCAGGATTGTGAGATCAAGCCCTGCGTCAGTCTCCACGCTCAGCAAGTGGAGTCTGCTTGTCTTTCTCCTTTCTCCTTTCTCCCTCCCACCGCTTGCAGAGTCTCTCTCTTCCTCTCTCTCTCTCTCTCTCCCTCTCAAATAAATATATAAAATCTTTTAAAAACATAGTTGACTCTTTCTTCCTCTGTGAATTCTTCTTAGGTATATTGGTTTCAAGGACATCAGGTGGGTTTCCACCAAAATTATTTACATACTGGAAACTATTTCATGTTCTTGTAACCTTTGGTGATTCCCATAAGAGACACAGTGTGCAGACTCTAAAGACTGTTGACATTAAACCACTTTCCCTAGCATAATCCAGGTAGTTTTCCTCAGAGACCACAGATACAGGACCTATATTACCAAAGAAGAGATTTGTAAAAGATGAGGTTTTTTTTTTCGAAGTTCTCTCCTTCTCCCTTCTTCAAATTAGATTATACATCTAGAATCTTTGAAATGTTTTTCATGTGTTTCCTTATGTGTTTCCTTATTCCTTTCAATGTGTTTCCTTACTAATGCATTTTTCACTGTCTTTTCTGCCACAGGCCCTCAAGTCCTGTTGATTGCAGTCTTCACTCTCACAGGAGCTGTGGTTCTGCTCCTGCTCATTGCTCTTCTGGTGCTGAGGTACCCACCACCCTCTTTGTCTTGCTGTGTCCAGAGAGTGGGTTGGGGTGGGGGAGGGCAGGGAGATGCAGAAGTCTGATGTCATTCAAGGATAATGTACATTCACAAGAAGGTGTCTAGATAGATCTAAGATCATGAAGGCATTCTGCATCAAAGACCACACCAAGGGCAAAGTAGTATTGAATGGATCAGTTCGAGACACCTGAACTCATATCTGTCTCAGTTCTGTGACTTACTAGTGGTGGGGTTTTAGTGTATTATCACATGTTACTTAACTTCAGTATCCTCATCCGAACTGTTGTGAGAACTTGAAATAAGCTGTGGATAGTGACTACCATACAATAGGCATCCTATAGGTGGAAATAGCTCTTCTGCTGTCTTATTGGTATGTTGTGGGAAATTTCAATCTCTATATTATTTAGTGTTCAGGCTGGAAAAGTCCAGAAATCATCTACTTCAAACCTCCCATTGTAGCATGGGGAAAGAGACCCAGAAAACCAAATGGCTTGTCTGGAATCACATCACCAGGTAGCTGTAGGACCAAAACTAGCACTCAAGCCTTCTGACCCTCAGTTTCATGGTTGTTCTACTCAATTTGGACAGAGGAAATGCCCAGCACAGTGTTAGAGGCATAGTGTATACTCAGAAATATTTGTTGAACATATAAATGAATGAGTGAATGCCACACTACACTAATCTGTGTATGTTAAATTCATAAAACTTTCCATCCTGTTATATTGTCAGGATCACCTCCATTTCCTAACTGTACCGGACAACAATTTTTCTCTTCGCATCACACACTTTGATCTGTGTAGCACTGTACTGTCTCACGAGAGAGTCCAGTCTATTATATGTCAGGTAACGGTTTCTCCAGGAAAGGAAGTCGATTGTTCTGTTCAGTCTGAAGGCAGAACTTGACTGCTGTAACTGCTTACCCCAAATTTGAGCTGTATATACACATATACTGTGTATGATGGCCATTTAGTTGAAGATAACCAGAAACCAAAATTTGAGGAGAATAAAGCCAGTCAAGAGCAAGGTCAGAGATGCAGCTGTTTTCCTTCAGAAACCAAGTCCAAATGAGTGTCAGGTTAAGGTAGGGAGGAAATCAAAGGTGAGAGACAGTAACAGATGGAAACAGGCAGAGACAGGGCTTCCCAATGGTGTGTCCACAAGGAAATCTGGTAGATACATGTTATCCTTAGAGTTTTCCATTACAACTGCTTAAATAAGGAAAGTAGTGAATGATTTATGGCAACCTCTGTTCCAGTATGAATGACACATGACTCTTGGAATGTGGAGTCTCTTGGAATGAAGAGATGAGAGCCTTTAAGGCCAAAAGCCTTCTTGGCTCCAGGATCATAATCATTGGTCAATGATATGCTGTTTTATATGTGATTAATAGAGGAATACTCAGCGTTAGATGGAAGCATAGAAAGAAAATAGTCATTTCTGCTTAGAATCCATTAAGAAGGGCATCATGAATGACCTAAGAAGGTGAGTAGGTAGAAGTTTGTCAAATAACGATAAGCAAACAAGCAAAGATAAACTCAAAGACAAACAGGCCAATTCAGATTCCAGAAGCAGACACAGCAAGCATGAGAATTTGGAATATGCTAGGGGTGACATTACAAGTCAATCGGGAAATGATGTTGGCATAGTAAGCCTGCAACATGGAAAAAATGAAATTAAAATCCTACCTGAAACCATACACAAATATAGAATTCATTCCATATGGATTATAAATGGAATAAAGACTTAAAGGTGAAATTCAAACTTCAAAACTAAGAGGACATTAATAGAAAAAGACTTTATGATCTCAAGTGGGAAAATGTTTCTCAGTTAAGATAAAAAATAAAAGTCATAAATGAAACAAAATAAATGTGGCCACAATAAAAACTAAATGTTCTATACAACAAAGTTAAAATGAGCAATAAACTAAAAGAAAATACTTGCAACTCAAAAGGACTAAGGATCTGTTTTGTAGAATATATAGGGAACTCATGAAATTATGACATATGGGCAAAATTTTGAATGAATTTATATAACTATATATTCTATAAAGTAGCTAGAAAGTATTTGAAAAGATATTGAATCTCTCTATAATAAAAAAAAAAAATGAAACCCAAAACAATAAACACCATCTCACATACATCATAATGGTAAAAAAAAAAAAAAAAAAGTTTGATATTACCAAATGTTAAGAATCTGGAAGAAATGGGAATTCTCATGTTGAAAGGCTGGGAAGTGGTATAACCACTTTGGGAAACAGTTTGACAATATCTGCAAAGTTGTAAGTGTTTCTTATAACCCAAGAATTCTGCTTTATCTGTACTATCTGGGGAAACACGTAAAACAGTGACATTTTGAATACTGAAATACATGTTACATTTTCTCCGTGCTTTTCTATTTTCTTCATATACTTGTTTTTTAAAGGCATAAATGCATAAAAAGAACAGGCTTGTTTAGGAATTTAGTGTATTCTCTGGTGGCTTAAAAATTAACATATTTGCTTTTCAAGCTTACCAGTCTTGAATTGTGTCTGTTTTTTCCTTACTCTTTCTATATCATCTGTTCAGATTCTTTATAATAGTGAAGGGCTGCCTTAGTGAAGGACTAAGACAATGAAATGAAATGGAAAGAAAAGAAATAAAAGAAAGGAAGGAAGGAAGGAAGGAAGAAAAAAATAAACCATCATCAGAAATCCTTACAGCTGACCTAATGGTCCGCATTCACCAGTTTGGAGAACATGGAGTCATACCATTGGGCTAACAACTCTCACCACATATCTACCTGAGAAAATCAGGGTTCTAAATTTCTCTTAGTGTCCAGAAGCTAAATGACATGAATGTTAATAAATACCTATTGACTGGTTCTGTTCCTTTCATAGAAAATATAAAAAAGAACATGAACTTCGTCAGAAAAAATGGTCCCACATTCCTCCTGAAAATATCTTTCCTCTGGAGACCAATGAGACCAACCAAATTAGCCTGAAGGTAAGGCAAACCTCACCTGTTGAGGAATTCTAGGGCTGGTGCAACTTGCCAGGTATTTGACAAGACTGGTAGCACAGTAAGAAATGGGCCAAGCAGGGATTATTTGCTTGAGAATCTAAGACTTAGACATTTTCTGATTCTCAACTTCCCGTCTTCCCTTTGATCCTCCAGTGCCCTAAATGTCAGCTGGTGGATCCAATGAACCCTTCATGGAGGCCGAGATTTGGTGTGTTACTTCCTCTTTGCCTCTGACCCAGAAGGGAAATGCATATGGTGTGCATTTGTCATGGAAGCAATGTAGAAACGTACAGAGCTTTTGCGCTCCCCTAAGCCTTGGCTGCGACTCTGCCCACGCTAAGGATGTATGGCTTATCTTGCTGGCTGTGGAAGAAAAAGGCCTCTGCTGACATTTGCCTGCATCTCCCTCAGCCAGGACATACAACAGCAGCCAGGAGTAATCACTCGCCTTCAGGGCAGCCAGTGCTGGAGCCCTGCGGTGCTTACCGCAAGGAATTCACGAGTTAAACTTTATCATGACTTTGCTGATGAGGAAACCAAAGGATGTGGGGTTAGAAAGCAGTGCAGGGTCACACACAGCTTATGAACAGGATTACTGCAAATAATAAGAGTGGACACTTACTGAACCCTTCTTAGGCCCGTTTTGTCTTCCCCCGAGCCCTGTGAGGTAACAGGGTTAGAACCTGGGGAACGTGGTCATAGTTTGAACCTAGTGTGTCTAACTGTGAAGTCTAAGATCCTAAAACCTACCATTCACCATATTCTTACAGAGTTTTTATACCAAAACACACTAAGAGAAGAAGGAGACCCAGAACCTCCACATGAAGGGCATAGTGGGGTTCCCCAGCCCAGGGCCAAGTCAACAGGAGAGTGTGACTTGAGTTGCCTCCCTGCCTAAAATCAGCAAAAGTAAAATTGCAGCCTGGGTCGAGTGTGTGCTTAGCTCCTGGCACTCCATCCGTCCCCTACAGGTCATGCTCTAAGAACTAGGAACCCCTCATGCTGTACCTGGACTAGACCTCCCTTGTCGCCAATAATGCTCTGTTCTGAATGACCCTCTGTGGCGCTGGGAACCTCACACATAAAACTCCTATTTGCAAAGACCCCTCTACCTCAGGCAAGCATCAGGATAAAATCCATCCTGCAGTAATTCATAGAAAGGTACAAATGACCGTAACATTATTGGACTCCCCGAGGGAGAATTTCTAGACCTAAGTGATGAACTGGCAGTACCCCCCAGAAGCAGGAAGGAGACCTCTAGAAGGAGTGAGTGCTCCTCCACCTCTGGTGTGAGACCAGGATGGGCTCCCACGTGGCCCACCTCCGCACACATCCAGCCATGCCTCCCCTCCTCACGAGCCTCCCCTGCTGCCTCAAAGCCCACGTTTCATATTTGTTCTTTTCAATGAAGCCTAAAATACTGTGTCTCTGTTTTCTTCAAATGTAGATATTCCTAGACATAGAACCCATCCATCCCTCATCAGACATTACAGAACTTGTATGCATTAATTCATCAGATTAGCCACTCACCTGCCTAAGAGAGTCTTTGGGGCAATAAGCTTAAGACCCAAGAGGTGATTCGGGGCATGGGGAGTCACGGTCACTCTGAGTTTCAGGCAAGATGGGAAGCAGGTGGACAAGGACGAGCTGTCAGGAGAGGTTTTCCAGTGCTGTGAGTCAAGTGGAACAGGGAGAAAGCCCAAGAAGGTCAGCCAGAGGGGAAATGCCACACCACCAGACAGGAAGCGGTTCAAGTCCCAGGTGCACGCTGAAAGCAGAGATAAGGAAACAAGACCAAGGGACGGGATGAGAAAGACTACATCCCTGTACGAGTTCAGAAAGGGACAGAAAACCAAAGCAGCCAGACACAGAGAGAAGTCAGGAAGGTCAAAGGGAAGAGTGACAGATGAAAACAATGATGAAGATAACTCATTTGAGGATAAAATACTGAAATTTGCCAAAAAAATTCACAAACGTTGTTGTGTTTGATGCCCAATACCCATGTCAGTTAGAATTTCCCAGAGAAAGTACTGAGGTTCAAATGGTTTAAATGACCTAATCGAGGGCCCAGAAAAAAGAATATGAGACAAGGCAGCAAGCTGGGATTTTAACGTGCCCGTATGTGACACTGTCATTTAACCTGCACGTGGCCCATTAGTAAAATGAGACGAGGAAGAGAAGACATCTGGCATTTATGAATCAGCACTGTGCCAGGCTACATGCTTGGAATTTGATATAGTTTATCTTGCTCCCGTTTCAAAAGGTCCCGCGGGGTAAGTTTGAACCAATATCATAATACATCACAGGTTTCTATGAGAACCAAATTATAAGATGCAGTAGTTCTCAATCTTGTTTTCTGCCTTGACACCAGAAGTCTGGCAGACCAAGAGCCACATCTAGCCTGCAGTGGTGTGTGTGTGTGTGTGTGTGTGTGTGTGTGCATGTGTGTGTGTGCATGTGTGTGTGTGTGTGCATGTGTGTGTGTGCATGTGTGTGTGTGCATGTGTGTGTGCATGTGTGTGTGCGTGTGTGTGCATGTGTGTGTGCGCGCATGTGTGTGTGCATGTGTGTGTGCGCGCAATGTGTGTGTGCATGTGTGTGTGCATGTGTGTGTGCGCATGTGTGTGCATGTGTGTGCGTGTGTGTGTGCATGTGTGTGTGCATGTATGTGTGTGTATGTGTGTGTGTGCATGTGTGTGTGTGTGCGTGTGTGTGTGTGTGTGTGTGTGTGTCTGTATCTTGTTTCAGTCACTATTTAACGTCTTTTAAAATTAATTGCCAAATATAAAAATTTGGGAAATGGCATAGGAAAATCCATATTACTAGCTTCTTTTGACAAATCAGGTGATCGGGCAACTCTAGGCTAAACCCAGAGCTGATGGCTGCCCCCTGAGGCACCCCAACCAGTGTCCTTACTTGCATTGCTAATTGGGCCCTGAGGTGTAAGTTTGAAACTCAAGGGCTCAACAGGCTCCCCTGGGAGCACCTGTCTGTAGCCACAGACTATGATTCCCAGCAGAATGGGCCAGGAGAGGTAGATATCTGGAGGGAAGACCCTGGTGGGGAGGGAAGGTGAGTAGTGACAGGGAAACACAAGGCAATTGTCACAGTGATGCTGGGAGCCTGCCCAGCACACTGTGAACCAACAACCCACCAAGCAGAGCCTCTTTCTCTGCCTTCGCAGTAGATGGGACAAGATAGGAAGTTTGTATAATAATCAGTCTTTTCTTGTGCCAGATCGATGATGACAAGAGACGAGATACAATTCAGAGACTCCGACAGTGCAAATACGACAAAAAGGTGACAGTCTCCTCTGCTTCTCTAAACTCTCAGTCAGGCTGTGTTCCAGGCCTTCTGCTCATTGTTGCCCTGGTCCCTGACACTGACCGTGTAATGGCGCAGGTTGACCCACGGGGTTGTTCCTGGAACTTTTCACAGGGATGGGCAGGACTGAGCTTCACAGTTACAAAACTCATAGTCCTGGACAAACTGAAGGACAAATAGAATTTTTAAGAGGGGTAGAGAGTAGGAAGGAAAAAGAGAATTGCCCAAACCACCATAGGATGACACCGTGGCTTGCCACAGTGGGGATATAATCCTATAAGGGGGTTTTGTATCTTCCTTCCTCCCTGGGCCATCCTTCTTCATTTACCTGTTCTTAAAGAAACATGCAGACCTGAGCCTATGCCAGGGGCTAAGCACCCAGGATGTAAATATCAATAAAATCATGTCCTTGCTCTCCAGAGCTTGCAGTATGAGGGGAAGATAGACGCACAACAAATTACTATAATATGCATGTACGTGGTCATGCTACAACATTATCTCCTTAATTCAAATGATCTTTGCAGCGAGTCATTCTAAAGGATTTCAAGCACAACGATGGCAATTTCACTGAGAAACAGAAGATAGAATTGAACAAGGTATGTGTCCCTTACTTGAAATTCTTAAATGAGAAATAGCTTCACTCCATCTTTCCCGAGCACTCAAATCCCTGGTGGATACAGATGCTATGGGGGATGGAATTTAAAAAAAAAAAAAAAAAAAAAAAAAAAAAACCCTCAGACCAAGAAATGGAAGAGACTCTACTTCTCCTTGTTGAAAATTCAGCCAACAGAAGTTGAAGAGTGGTGTTTACTGGTGTAAAACATATTAGAAATCTACTAGCATGTCCTTGAAAATGGCCCTGATATTATTAGAGCGTTGTCAAAGGTTTATCTTCCAGTCTCCTTGCTGATAAAATAAAAACTGTTGAGGAAGACATAGTGTCCATGAGGAATGTGCTGACATTCCAATATACCAGGAACAGTATGTCTTCCCAAAGACCTGAAGCATGGCGTGCATGTCTTATTAGTGTATTAATTCTTACCGTGGCCCTGCTCTCTGGCTGACTTGCTTTATAATTAAACACATTACCTTAGTTGCTTCAGATTGACTATTACAACCTCACCAAGTTCTACGGCACAGTGAAGCTTGATACCATGATCTACGGGGTGATCGAATACTGCGAGAGAGGATCCCTCCGGGTAAGAACCGTGATCATTTCCTGTTTCCTAACTGGCCAGCCATATGGGAAAAACAGTATTGAGTAGAAATGTTAAATTGTTTACCCAGTGAAAGAATATCAGAGAATTATTAGGAAAAAGTGGTAGGTCCATATGCTTTCCAATTAGATCACTTAGACTTCCTCAACCAGTCTTATTACATCTGTACCAAAATACAAAACACAAAAACCAAGCCAAAAATAGGAGTGTAGATTGAAAAGCCGGAGAATAGATGTGGGAAAGTGAGTACCTCTAAATTCATTTTATTTTACTTGCAAACTTGCTTTTATATTAAGAGAAAAATGGATAGTCATTATGATAGCATCAGATAAGCACTGGAGACTTGTCCATAAGTCCTGGTTCTGCTACAGTCTAAATTCCCACCTTTCTCTCCTTTGGGAGGGATTAAGGGTGGCCCAGCAGTTGCCAGATGTGGTCAGGCGTTCTGGCTGAGCAAGTCCAAAGCAGAAAGAACAAGTAAGACAGGGCTGAACCAAGTTCTTGGGAAGAACAAAGCTTCAAGCTAGGAATATCAAATCGCTGGGTAGTTCAGAAGGGCAGGAATACATGAGAACCATTTACATACAAGAAACAAAGTCAGGTTTCAAGCAGAAACAGGACTGGAATGGGGAAATGGGCAGGAGCAGAAAGGAATCCAGGATAATTGGATCAAAGAGCATGGAAATATTTGCACCTCACCTTGAGCACATTCTAGGCATATGTTACAAGAGCTTTCAGCCTTCTAAATACCTTTGAGTAGGGTGACCATATAGTTTATCAGAATACTTTGAGAAGGAAAGGGATACTATAGCAATTATGTTGGAACAGCAGATAAAAACTGTAACTGGATCCAGGCAAGCAAGGATGTGTGGTCACTGCCTTTGAGCTACATTCAGACATAGTTTCCTAATTGTCTTAATTAAAAGTAACCTCATTGTCTGCCCTACAACAAAGCCAAAATACTAAGAACCGGGGCAGCAGCAACTTCAAAGAGGTCCAAATAGTCACAATACAATATAATTTTTAAATAATAAAATTTTAAAATTAGTCACTTAGAATTTTTTTAAATAAGCTTTGATTCAATTCAAAAAAAAGAAGAGTAGCTTTCAAAATGTGTGGCATAAACTCAAAACTACCCTCAAGAAAAAAAATAATAGCCCTAAATGCTATTTTCTCCTTAAAAAATAATCTATTCAATGCAAAATTTAGAAGAATAACTATGGCCCAAGGAAAGGAAACTTACAAAGTTTAACTATTATTAAAAAGAATTTTAAAGTACTTTCATGAGGTTTTTTAAATATAAAACATAAAAGCTTTGACATTGGCCCCAACAACTTCTTAATAGACACGTCTCCTGAGGCAAGGGAATCAAAAGCAAAAATAAACTATTGGGACTTCATCAAAATAAAAAGCTTCTGCACAGTGAAGGGAGCAAGCAGCAAAACTAAAGGCAACCTATGGAATGGGAGAAGATACTTACAAATGACATCTCCGATAAAGGGCTAGTATCCAAAATCTATAAAGAACTTACAAAACTCAACACCCAAAAACCTAATAATCCAGTTTAAAAATGGATTATTTTTAAAATAAGACTTTGTAGAGAACCAGCTGATGGTTACCAGATGGGAGGTGGGTGGGGATGGGTTAAATGGGTGATGTGGATTAAGGAAGGCACTTGTTTTGATGAGCACTGGGTGTTATATGTAAATGTTGAATCAGTAAATTCTATACCTGAAACTAATATTACACTATTTGTTAACTAATTGGAATTTAAATAAGAACTTTGAAAAAAAGCCCATAAAAGCGTCTCCTACTTCTAATTAAAATTTTTAAACGAAAATGGGAATAAAAAATAAAGCTATGAAAAAAAGGTATTTTCAGTTGTGAAAGATTATTTCATGGCTATTAAATTATGAAATCTTTAAAAAAAAGAAAAATTTCAGAAGCAATATAAATAATCATGGAAATTTGACTCAAAAACTAAAAACTTTAGGACAATAATAATACAAGAGGATGTGAGGGCCATCTGGCTGTGACATCTGTCACCCCATTGATCACCAGGGTTGATTCAGCTGATCTGGCTGGCTAGACAGTTGTCCCCTTCCTTCCTTACCACTCCATGTGCATCCCCCCCAAAGCTGCACGCTCCATCAGAGAGGACGACAACCTTCCCCGATAGAGGAGAGGACCATCCTCCGGCCAAGGGTTTACAAGTAGCTGCACTCCCTACTAGAACCTCCAAACAAATGAAGCGCTGCACATGACAGTCTACCTCTCTTTAACCAAAAAAAAAAAAAAAAAAAAAAGATACAAGAAATTATAATTTCCATTATAGATAATACCAGATTCAACTTAATTCTTTAAAACTTCAAAAAATAATTCTTGTTGTCCACATAAATACTATTCCAATGTTAAATGAAAAATGAACATCTTCTAAATTCATTTAATATTCAACAAGGCTAACATAAAGTTGATGGTAAAATATGATTAAAGACTAACCACATTTATGAAATTAGGTGGAAAAGTTATAAATAAAATACTAGTAACTCTAAGCCAGTTGGGTATAAAAAGCATAATATAGTCAGATATGGTTAATTCTATGAAAGAAAAAATATTAATATAATACATCATTATCAAAAGGTCATGGAAAACTCATATGATGATTTTAATCAGTGCTGAAAATTATTATTTAAGTTGATGCTGATATAAAATAAACATACATTCCTAATAATAACAGCTTCAAGTCTTTCAAAATTATAGAGCTTCCTTGATTTACAATGGGTTACATCCCCATAAAACCATCCTAAGTTGAAAATATCTCAAGTCAAAAATGCATTTAATACATCTAAACAAACAAACAGTGTAGCTTAGCCTGGCCAACCTTAAATGTGTTCAGAATGCTTACATTATTAGCCTATAGCTGGGCAAAGTCTTCTAACACAAAGCCTGTTCATGATAAAGAGTTGACTATCTCATGTAATGTACTGAACACTGTACTGAAAATGAGAAACGGGAGGGCTTTATGAGCAGAGAACGGTTGTAAGTGTATTAGTTATTTACCCCGTGATCAAGTGGCTGGCTGGGGGCGCACTGCCCAGCATCATGAATCGCCAGCCCAGGGGAAATGATCCAGATTCAAAATCTGGAGTATGTTCTCTACTGGATACATATCACTTTCACACCACTGTTACGAACTAGAAGAATTGTTAAGTTGAACCATTGTAAGTCAGCGACCATCTATAGAAATGTTCATAGGAGGGCTAGACCAAAACTGATTCATTTGATTTCTGTGAGATGAAATTTTAGAATACCAATTCACAGGGCTTAGTCAAGGGTTTCATTTGGCCTTTTAATCCCTAAAATGCCCAGTCAATATTTAGGTAGTGTTTTTCGGCACTCTGCCCTAAAGTAGGAAACGACTATTACCTGAGCGGTCCTAGGCCCCCTTCTGGCATTGCTAACTCATGTTGGGAGCAGACAGCAGACCCTTCTCTAGGAAGTGACTCCTTTGTGTCTTGAATCTCAAAGCAAAGGCTGTGCCAATGCAAATTTTATAGTTCCCTCCCTGACATAATCCCTTTAGGCTTCCATCCATGGCAAATCCCATCCAAACCTATTTTTATAAGAAAACAAATGGACCAGTCTCTCCCTAGACAATGTGCTTCCCATCTCATAAATATACAACAACACGTTGGCTAACCTTGCTAGGAACAATTGATTCATTTAGGCAACAAATAGTTATGAGCCATCTATTCATGCCAGACGTTGGTCTAGATATTGCAGAGCAAAGATTATCACAGAGTTTACATTTTCATAGGGAGAAGAGATAATAAATAAATATACAAAATATGTCAGGTGCTAAGGGAAAGAATTACTTTAGAGTCTGTCTGCTCCTAATTTCCCTCCCTTAGCCAGGCCTGGAACCCACAGCCAAGGCAGCCTTATCTGACATGATTAATGACTTTGGCCCCTTCTTTGGAAATTATTGGTGCAACGCCTGAGTTAAAACTAAAGGTCAGATGGAGCTATTGTTCAGCTGTTCAAGTTTTACTGTGAAGAATAGTTACTGGCTTTGCTAAAACCCTTTATCTTGATAGAACCGTCATCATATTAAAATGGTGAGTGCAAAATTCTAGGTGAAACAATGCATGCAAAATATAAGATCTCACTCTTATTGACAGGGGACCTGGTAAATGTAAAGAAAACTTAGGGCTGTAAGCTAATGGATGCAACTGATCATAAAACATAAGCCTAAGGAAGGGATTCCTGAATAGCAATTCCTGGTTGAAACACACTAGTGGAATTTCAGTGAGCAAGACCCTGCAGCCCAGCCACCTGCAAATTGGACCAACAACCCACGTTCCAGGCAGGTGTCTGCTCATTCCTTTACCCCTGGCAGGTAGAAGAACCAGGATTTGGGATACTCGGGGTATCTCCTGCTCATTTCATTGCTGTGAGAGCTGCCCGATGTTTCGTAGGGAAGAAAAGAAATACATTTTAAGAAACCCAGGGTGACAGAGTTTTTTCAGTTTGTTTCTGAGCCCCAGGTCCCCGTGATTAGATTATTAACCTCTAATCGTCTCTCCACAGTATCCCTCCTTGCGACAACTTCTTTTCTTTTTCTGTCGTTCAGGAAGTTTTAAATGACACCATCTCGTACCCCGATGGTACATTCATGGATTGGGAGTTTAAGATCTCGGTCTTGTATGATATTGCTAAGGTAAGAGACCTGCAAACATGAAGGCATTTATGAAAATGAAAAAGGAAAACAGATCTAGCGGGCTTTCAAACTCTCTGAGCATTGGTTTCTTAACCTGTAAAATGATAATAAAAATAGAACCTATGTCAGAGGGTTGTTTTGAGGATTTTGTAAATAATGCATGTGCTTCATATTTACAAGTAAATGTTCTATACACAAGCTCTACTTTTTATGTTCATATTTTTTCTTCTCTGAGTTTGGGGCACAAATTTTCTTAGACTTCCTAGAAAGCAAAATCATATTAAGCTACATGCAAGACACCAATCTTCAACTTTTTACAAGAAATCTATTAAGGGCAGGCAACCCTCTTGCATAAGGCAATAATGACTTTGAACATGAATATTCCCAGATAAGATATGAAAAAGAAAGTGGATAGCAGTGACCAGGACCTCATTCAAGAATGAAGAAAAATCCGTCCCAAGATTGACCTGTTTGATACAGTCTTAAATCGCCTGAAAGTCATCTAGGATCAGAATCCATTTTTTAAAACATTATAGAATCCCCACCCTCTTTGCCACTTTTCATTCCTGTGATCCAGGCTGAAAACCAATTTCTGCAAGGACACATCTGGCCACCAGAGGGAAACACTGCAGCCCGAAAACCTAGGGTGGGGTGGAGGGGAGGCCTTCCCCTTTCATAACTGAAGGAAACAGACTCTTTCAAAATAGAATGAGACCAATTATATTTTAAAACATAACAAGCCTAGCTCATCCTTTCAGAAAGGCAAGGCTGTATTATTCATATTTTTTTAACTGAAGTAGAAGACCAGAGATACACCCAAGATCACAGATGGAGTAAGTGGTCAGCAGAAACACTTAAAAAAAAAAAAAAATTAGGATCAACACTTTGTTTCATATTAGATGTAACCATTTAACCACAGTCAGTTGCCTCTTAAGATGCAATGCTGGGGCAAATATTAAGGAATTAGTATTTTTAAAGTAAAATTAATGGAACTAAATTTAAAATCTGGTCATGTGATTCTATCGGCATGCTGAAATGGTTTCAGAATGTCACTTCTTTCTTTAAATAATCAAGAAGCTGAAGAGTGTCCTATCTGTCTCCCTGTCATCCGAAAAATTACAGGGTATGTCATACCTGCACTCTAGTAAGACCGAAGTCCATGGCCGCCTGAAGTCCACCAACTGTGTGGTAGACAGTAGAATGGTGGTGAAGATCACTGATTTTGGCTGCAATTCCATTTTGCCTCCCAAAAAAGGTCTGTAATGAATGACATTTTTACTGGTTTCCCTGAAAAAAATTTTCACAAGTCCATGTAAGGGTGTGGTGATGCTGGTCAGAAAATAAAGACTTGGAGCCACAGGAGGAAAGAGCTGGCTGGTCCCCCAGCACGTCACCCTTGTCAGTTTCCAACAAGTCCTTCTTGAGTCGAGCAAACCCTCTCTGTGGGTTTCCTTCATCTGTGTGGTTCTTGATTATCAGGGAGGAAATCACCAAGAAATTACTGGCTGTGGAAGCAGAACTTGGTGAAAAAATAGACAAGGTTAGAGTCTTAAGAGACATAGAAGTCAAGCACTCTAACCCTCTTCCTTTGTAGAAGACAGAATTGAGGCTCCAAGAGCCCAAGATATTTGCCCAGGAAGACAGAATTCAAGGCCGAAGACCTATTTCCAAACTCTCATTCATTTATCTGTGATAATGATAAGAAATTATAATGATAAGGAGAAAAACTCTCTTACTAGTAAAATTATTCTTACCTATCCCTTTCTGGGTTGTAATAAGCATCAAAAAAAGTAACACAAAGAAAAGTGATTTGCAGTGTTTATAGGGTCTTTCATGTTGAACATTTATCCATTTTTTACTATAACTCAGGTTCAAATAGCCTCAGAAATCTAGCACTCATATATAATGCCTTAAAATACCACCTAGATCCAAAACTTAAATTCTGTTTCTAATTTTCTTTGGCAATCCTTCAGTTTTCTCTTCATAAAAGAAAAATCATGGGGCACCTGGGTGGCTCAGTTGGTTAAGCGTACAACTCTTGAACTCAGCTCAGTTCTTGGTCTCAGGGTCGGGAGTTCAAGCCCCACACTGGGCTCCACATTGGGCATGGAGCCCACTTAAAATAAATAAATGAAAATAAATTAATTTTAAAAAACAAATAAATGAAAGAAAAATTACAATTCTCCTAGTTCTTCAGTCACATCAAGCATGACATTGGACTCAATCCAGTAAATCCTTGATAAATACCTACATGTGGAGGAGCAAATCTCCTTCATTAGGGACTCACCACAACACAAAATCAGATGAATTGCTGGTCAAATGCTCTTCTCTTGAACACCAACCAGTTATACCTACCTGTCTGTGCTGTTGGTTACCTGAAATTTTAACACGTAGATCTGCTTACCTTTTCTATGACCCCAAACCATTAGGATCAATCGTATAGGAATCACAAGTCACCTAAATTAAGAAGACATAAATTCAAAAAGGTAATGAACATTTAGATGGCAAACCAAATGAGGAAAACCTGCTTCAGCTCAGGCGTGCCGCTGCACCTCACAACATGGGTCCATAGATTCTTTTCACTGAAACCGCTGAAGACAGGAATCGCAAGAAGTTTAGAAGGAGCTAGCTAGGTGATCCTAAAAAATTTACATGGGATGGAGGAAAGTTAATGGTATGCCCTTATTGTTACTAAATAAGCTATGTAATAGGGTTCAAAACCCAAGTGTCTGTAGGAACCAACCATGGAACAAAGAAGCGCTTCACTGGTATGAAGTAAACTACATGGGAAGTGTTCAGAAGTAGCAGGCACAAAATGTGAGAAAATCGTATGCATTATTTTGTCTTAATTTTTTTTATTTTTCTGAGAAAAAGAGAGAGCACGCGTGGGGCAGGGGGTCAGAGGGAGAAGCAGACTCCTGGCTGAACAGGGAGCCCGATTCGGGTCTCGATTCCCGAACCCTGGGATCATAATCTGAGCCGAAGGCAAACACTTAACCAACTGAGCCACCCAGGCACCCAAATTGCATGAATTATTTTTTAAAGGATACCTTGGGAATCCAGAAAAACACATCTGTGAGCAATGGCGGATTTAGAGGCTGCCAATAGGTCCCATCTGCAAAATATCAGTGATAGGCTCTTTATTTAAATGTGTTTAAACATGCATTCATATATATTAAACATAATATTTTTACCTGACACAAAATATATAAATGCATTTTATATTTTACAATAAAAATATATAAATTTATATATTTTTTATTTATGAAGGTTTTCATAGATGTATGCCATACGTCCCAAAAGCTATTAAATCCTCAGCTGCTCATATTCTACCACTCTCGTTCTACATATATTTCCCGAGCACTTCCTGTACACCAGGAGCTGCTCTAGGTAGGCTGGAGGGTTTTCAGCACTTTGATCCCAGAAGTTTTAGGGAAGACGTTGCTACGTGACCTCACCCAAATCCTGACATTTCATAGTTCACTTAAAAGGCAAGGGTGTGTGTCCCCCGCCCCACCACTGTCACCAGCATTAGCATAAACTCCTCCAAAGTTTGGGACATATAAATTCAAGGCCACTCGGATTCAGGGTACATGTTATAGAGACTTCAAGAACAAAAGCGGGTTGGAGACCTATGGGCCACTGATCTCCCTCGACTTTGCAATCTCAATGCTGAATGCACAGACCTGTGGACAGCCCCGGAGCACCTCCGCCAAGCCAACATCTCCCAGAAAGGAGACGTGTACAGCTACGGGATCATTGCCCAGGAGATCATCCTGCGGAGAGAAACCTTCTACACATTGAGCTGCCGGGACCAGAACGGTAGGAGTCAGACTCATTCATCTGTGCTCTCGGGGAGCCTGCATTCCAGGCTGACCTCACCTCTTTGTGATCACAGCTCAGTCCCCTCATCTGCAGAACTGATGGCATATCCGCCCTGCACATGGCACAGGGCTACGGAGGGGTTGACAGTGTGAATGTTAGAGCGCTCGGAAGAGCATAACATGCCAGGTGTTGTCACCGGCAGTATTATTATTGTCAGTTAAAGCTCTGTTTATAGTCCCCGCCCCCTTCCCTTCCGAGTCTAACAAAAGACGTGTGTCTGTTTAACACCTGAACTAGATCACTCTAGTGGGACATAAGTGTTGTAGTTCCTACTGAGAGGAGATCTATAGTTTTTGTACGTGTCCTCTCAGCACAGGGGCAAATGCTTCCTCGCTTTCATCCAGTCCTTGCTTACTGAGCAATTACGTCCCAGGTCTTGACTCCTGGAGGGCGGGTGTCTAAGGGATGGAGGGAGGGAGGGCTAGGGTCTCAGAGGAAAACTGCTAAAGGTAGTGGTATCTGAGTTACATTTTAACGGCTTAGTAACCTTAACTTAAGCTAACCTCCCAGGTATAAGTGGACATCGCACCCTTTTACCTGGTGGCACAGTCATCCTTTGGAGTGCTGGCCTTGGCTCTGTGACCTTCACCCTGGGCACCCATGGCTGTGGAGTGGGGCTGGGACCAACTCAGTCTGGCTGCTGCTACAGTGTTTTCATGCTGCATTCTTTCTTGTAATTTCAATTATTCTCATCCCATCAGAGAAGATTTTCAGAGTGGAGAATGCCTACGGAGGAAAGCCCTTCCGCCCAGATCTATTCCTAGAAACGGCAGAGGAAAAAGAACTGGAAGTGAGTGCCTCCCCCTACACGAGTTTCTGGGCTGCTCTAATAAATTGCCAGCAACTCAGTGGGTTAAAACAACCAAGATTTATTGCCTAATAGTTCTGGAGACCAGAGGTCTGAAATGGGTCATACTTCCTCCAGAAGTTCTAGAGGAGATTCCATTCCTTTCTTCTTTCAGGAGCTTCTGGGGGCTACTGACATTCCTTGGTATGTGGCCCCAACACTCCAATCTCTGCCTCCATGGTTACAATCTTATCTCTTCTTTGGTCTAATCTCCCTCCACTTCCCCCGTGGACAAGGATTCATGGGATTGCACGTACCTCCCAAGATACTCCACAGTAAGGTTCCCATCTCAAGGTCCATTACTTCATCAGATCTTCAAAAATCCCTGTTCCAAATAAGGTGACATTCTCAGGCTCCAGAAGCCAGATCTGGGACATTCCCTTTGGGTACCATTATTATCAGCCTGTCACGCTCCCCACGTACTTTCTCACCTCTCCCAACTCAAGAAAGAGCTGGCTCCTGAAGCCCGTATCACATTCTCAATTTTTAGGACCTAAAAGATCAAGATGTCCGTGTGACACCCTTATTAGGCTTGTAAATCCTACCTACTGATTTACAAATGGTATGTTAGCATCTAGAAACAGGATACATTCCAAGACCCCCAGTGGATGCCTGAAACCACAGATAACACTGAGTCCTATAAATACTGTTCTTTTTTTTCCCTACAAATACATACCTATGCTAAAGTTTAGTTTATAAATCAGGCAGAGTAAGAGATTAACAACAATAATTATAGAATAATTGTAACAATATAGTGAAACAGAAGGTATGTGACTACGGTCTCTCTCTCTCTCTCAAAAATATTCTTTTATACTGTACTCAACCTTCTTGTGTTGACATGAGATGATAAAGTGACACGTGATGAGCCAGAGTGAAGTGAATGACACAGACGTGGTGAGGTATTGTTAGGTTACTGTTGACCCTGCTGATAGGTCAGAAAGAGGGTCATCTGATTCCAGACCATGGTTGACTCAGACACGGAAGAACTACTGGAAATCAGAATCTCCTGAGGCAGGGTCTGGGCATAAGAAATTGGAAACCTTCCCACATGATTCCGCTGGTACCTCTGGTTGGAAACCCTTGTGGAAGAGCCTCCTGTAAGAATCACTGCCACGTACCCACTAACCCCAACAATTTATTGTCCTTGGCAACAGAAACCTTGCAAACATCTGTAAAGCATTTTGTCTCTCCCAATAATCTAGCCTTGTCCAAATCACATTTTTCATTAATTTAGGATGTGTGTCTGTTTAACACCTGAACTAGATCACTCTAGTGGGAAAATAGCCATTTTGTAGTTCTTGCTGAGAGATCTGTAGTTTTGTCACATGTCCTTTCAGGGGGGAAATGCCTCCTTCCATTCGTTCCATTAGAACAGTGAGGCAAGGTGGTGCGGGGGGGGGGCGGGACAGAGACAGACTCAGGGGAACTCAGAAATCTCATCCTCATTGTCAGAGCTGAGTTGTTTTGCAAATATTCCCTGCATCAACTACTCCCATGGAGGGAAGACAGTAGGATTGGATGCTGCCCCCTAAGCCAGTCCACCCCTTCTTTCTTTCAGGTCTATCTACTTGTAAAAAACTGCTGGGAGGAAGATCCAGAGAAGAGACCAGATTTCAAGAAAATTGAGTCTACACTGGCCAAGATATTTGGGTATTACGGGAACTTTCACATTTCCTTACTAATTTCAGATTTTTCTAATAAGATTTGGCATTCAGTGGCACCTTAGATTGGAATGCCTGTTCTAATGAAAAGTCTCAGGCCACAACACCTGCTCAAAAAAAAAAAGGATGGCGCCTGAGTGGCTCAGTCATTAAGTGTCTCAGGTCATGATTCCAGGGTCCTGGGATTGAGTCCCTGCTTCCCCCTCTCCCACTCCCCCTGCTTGTGTTCCCTCTTTTGCTCTCTCTCTCTCTCTCTGTGTGAAATAAATAATAAAATCTTAAAAAAAAAATACAAGGAGATGGGGACAGACAGACCATTTTCTTATGGAATAATCACTTGAAAAGTTAAATACTCGAGAGCAGCTCTTGCCTGATTAAAAAATAAATTCTGACTGATCATAAATATGTCTGTTAAAAATATAGTTCCCTGGGGCACCTGGGTGGCTCAATTGGTTAGGCATCTGCCTTTGGCTCAGGTCTTTATCCCAGGGGCCTGGGATAAAGCCCTCCCCTCCCCCCAACCTGTCTGGCTCTGTGCTCAGAAATGTGTCTGCTTCTCCCTTTAGCCTCTCCCCCCTACTCGTGTGCTCATGCTCTCTCTCATAAATAAGTAAAATCTTTAAATGTAAATAAGTTCCCTGACCCTTCTGCAGGTAATTGGTATTTAGAAGACCGGCATGAGTCCTATGAATCTGCAAAGCCATTGAATAATTCTTAAGCTCAAGAAGTTTCTTAAGATCTTAAAATCAGCAACTTTGGCCTTTGGTACTTAAGACTTGTGCCCTGAATCAGATTATAATTCAGGATCCAAAACAAAAACAAAAACAAAAAAGCACACAGTTACCCAGTAAGGTTCAATTCTAGATTTTCCATGTTTCAGTTATATACAGTGCAGAGTGAGAAAAATAACTGTGAAGTAAGAGTAGTTCTGATTTCTAGACTAGGATCTAGTAGTAGCTTACTGTGGGACATTGAGCAAAATGCTTACCCTAACTGGATGTCAGTTTTCTTATTAGTAAAACTGTATTTTAATAGGACGATTTCGGCAATTCCTTCCAGCTCTAATTCTCCATAGTTGTCATTAAGTCAATGATTCAGATACTTAATGAGCCGAAAAGCCCAGGTCTGAGATGAGGTCGAGTGAAATCATGGAAGGGTGGTCATTGATTGGTACATCTAATCTTTCATTTGTGTGAAAGGAGCAGAAAATAATAAATGATGTAATTCTTGCCCATTTTTCATTTCTTCACAGACCTTTTACTAAGATCAAATGGGACTGTATGTGTGACAGATGAAATGTAAACTCATGAAGATAAACTGGGCCCCCAGTACTTGGCCTTGAATAGGGTGGTTCTCAAAACTGGCTGCACACCGAGATGGCCTGGGGTGGGTTGGTGGGGGGGGGTTGAGAAACCAGTGCCAGAGTCCTGCCCCAGAGAGTCTGATGTCATTGCTCTGGGGAGCAGGCTGGCATCAGGAGTATTAATAGCTCCTCCAGTGATTAAAATATGCAGTCAAGGTTGAGAAAACTGTTTTAATTGAATCAATTCATCACGAAGGATGGTAATCTATCTTCATCCTTTACACCTGCTCCCTCACCAAACTAGATGCTATACTGGCCTCAAGGAAGGACCCCTGGGGAACTTGTTAAAAAACACCATTTCACAATCCCAAGCTTAGTGGTTTCCAGTCATTTAGGTCTGTGGTAGGACTCAGAAACATCGAATTTTTAACAAACATCCCTCCCCACCCAGGGGATTATGACGGAGGCTATCTTCTCCTTGAGCTTGGAAGTGGTAACTTAGAATTGTTGCTGTAATAGTCAGTGGTAGGGTTTATTCAGCCCATTCAATGGCACCATTTATGTTATAAACATTATCTCGATCCTGAACAATGCTGCGGGCGCTCAATGTACATCCTGACAAGCCCTGCACCGAGACCCACCGGGCGTTGCCAAAAGCTGGCGTCTGGTCTTTCTCCTTGGCCTAACAAATCATTCGAGTTGGGTTTTTCGCTGTGGGAGCCCGGCTCTCTGTTCTAAGGAGGTAATAGAAGGCTCAGAGTTGTTGTTGTTGTTGTTGTTTTTGTTTCTAAATATTTTATTTATTTACTTGACAGAAGGAGAGAGGAAGTGAGGGAGAGAGCGCATAAGCAGGAGGAACAGCAGAAGGAGAGAGAGAAGCAGCAGGCTTCCGGTGAGGCAGGGAGCCCAATGCAGGGCTCCATGCAAGGACCCCAGTATCACACCCCAAGCTGAGGCAGGTGCTTAACTGACTGAGCCATCCAGGCACCCCTCGGCTTTGCTTTTCTTGATCCTTCTCTTATCGTTGCATTTACCACTGCTAGAACCTTCAAAAAAAAAAAAAAATGTTCTCCCTGTACTGTAAATTATTAAAATTTCAGAAAACAGGTATAAGCAAACAAGAAAGAAGAAACATCACCCATTTGTCAGTAGATGACCACTGGTTTTCAGAAGTTAAAAACAATCATTTTTGCCATTTTATCAACTTTTTTCCTTAATATGTTTGTTATTATAAAGAATGCTCCAGCTTCTCTTGTAGTTACTTCTCAGCACATTCCTGTTGCTTCCTTTGGATAGTTCCTAGAAGTAGCACTGGTGGACTGATCAGTGTGTGTCCTTTTTAAGTTCATGACACATTTTGCCAGGCCGTCCCTCCAGAAAGGTCATAGTGTATGTTTTACCTCCTTACCTCCATTGATTACCATTGTTCTAACATTTGGTTTTCTTTAAAAAAAAAAAAAAAAAAAAAAAAAAAACTTACATCTATTTCTATTTAATTTTTCCAGAGGTTAATTTTGTTAAATGTGTGTTGGCCATTTTTATTTTTTTTCTTTCATTAACTGTCGTATCATATTTTCCCACTTTGTTACTGGATGTTTATGCTCTTTATCTATTACCGTATACAGCCTATTTCACGACCAGAAAAGTGAAAGTTATATGGACACTTTAATCCGACGTCTCCAGCTCTATTCTCGGAATCTGGAACACTTGGTGGAGGAAAGGACCCAGCTGTACAAGGCAGAGAGGGACAGAGCTGACAGACTTAATTTTATGTTGCTCCCAAGGTAAGGCAAGTCCTCCTGCCTGGTAAGTTTCACAGGATTCCGCAGGTCTGCCTTGTTCCCTCCAGCAGAAAGAAAGCATCAGCATCTTTGTCTAGTATTGTTTTTTCCTTTATATGTATATAGGATCATTCCCTTTTCCACAAACCAGACCAAGTTTTAGCAAATTACTGAGCTTAAAAAAAAATACTTTGTTAAAACTTGGTCTGGTTTGTACTCTAAATATCTAGAAGAGGGACACCTGGGTGGCTCAGTTGGTGAGATGTCTGACTTTTGTATTTAACTTGTGTTAATTATTATTTTATTCTGAACCCATGCTTCATTTGGAATACAAACTCTGCGTTACAAAAGGAATGATTTTGAGTCCATGGGAACTGTCTTCTAAATAAAGAGACAGTTTCTCTTTGGCAAACCTGAGTGAAGAAGTAGGAGACACACACATGCTTTGTTCAGTCATCCGTGCCCTAAGGGAGCCTATCGCAGAATCCTTGTGTCCCCAGAGTGCCAAGGAGCAGGCTGGGAGTGGTACCCGGAGCATAGGCTGGAGCCCTTAATATTCCCATCAGAGATGGCAGTTTCTATCAGAGCTTCATAAATGCTAGTTGTATGATGCAGAATTCCTAGCCCGGCCTTTCCTGCTGAGTGGTGACAAAAAACAACATCCAGATAATCTGGCTGCCTTCCCAGGGTGTCATCCTCAGTGGTCTTAACCAATAATGATACTCAAAGGATTCGTAACAGCTGGCTCGCCACCTCAGACTTTTAATCTTACTCCTGGTGTAATGTGCCACTTCGACTACTAGATGGTAGATGTTTTATTTGTTTTAATTATTGAGTACAGTTGACAGACATTGTTCTATTAGTTTCAGGTGTACAACATAGTAATTTGATGATTCTATACATTTCTCAGTGCTCACTGCAGTGAGTTTAATTACCGTCTGTCACCATATAACAGTATTATCACAGTACTAACTGTATTCCCTGTGTTCTACTTTTCATCTCCGTGGGTAGATGTTTTCATTGGATTGTCAAAGGTTATATAACACGTTTCTCATCAACACCTGCAATACGCTGTGCCTCCAGTGCAAGTCACTTGTAAAAAATGTACATGTAAAAAGCATGTATATTTGTACAAGAAAACTAAAACATACACCAACAGTAACTATAAGAATCAAAAAGAAATATTTATGGCAAAATTGCAAATAAACAAAGACAGGATGTAGGAACCAGATACTACTTAAACACTTATTTAACTTATTTAAACAGTGCCCCTTGGCTTTTGAGATGGTAAAATAGAAGTTTTTTCTTCTTGTGGGGGGGCCTCTCCAAGACATCCACTGTGTTCGCTAATCTGCTTACATCAGCAACAGCCTGTTACCAAAGCTCGCCAGGTTGAGTCACTGCTCTTCCATTTATCCCCCAACATTAGTTTCTCTCTCTGGGTAATGTGCCAGTTTCCAAGCCATATGACTTTTCAGATATAAGCAGTAATAGGAAGGGTAAAGAAGGTGAAATATCCAATTTTATCATAACGTTTATGTAGCCTTCAAAAAATTTGTACCCTTATACTGGGCAGGTCAAGAACCACCACCCCAGAAGTGCCCTGAGAATCAAACCAACCACATCACAGGGATGTTTCTCAAAGGTCCCAGGCTTTATCATTGCACCAATTGAAAAGACTTCCCTCGATGCTTTGGAGGTTCTCACCACGAGTATTACATGTCCTTGTAGTTAATGAACTGTTTTCTGGGAGAATGGCAGACATGCCTCCTTCAATACAATCAGCATACCTCCAGATCTTCCTTGTCTCCATGAATACCCAAGGTCTGGGTTGTGGAGGAGATGCCCTGCAGTAAAAAGACCGAAAGGCGGGATGTTACTGAATACTGGCTCTGCCCTTAGTGGCTGTGAGGCCTTGTGAGCGTCATACTTTATTTTTAAGCCTCAGTGATCTCAGTGACCATGGCACCTCCCAGCAGCCATGTTCTGATTCTAGTGGTTCCATACTTGGATCCTTTACAGAGAGATCCTAAGGGCAGACAGGGAGCAGCAAGCCTCATGTTGGCCCCACCCATTTTCTCAATGAAAGGACAACTTGGCATGTCAAAAAAGTATGGTGTGGAATTCCTTCTTTGTGGTTCTCTCTGAATTCTGAGTCTGATATACTACTCCTTTGATTTCTGCAACAAAGATATTCTAAGTTGTTTTTATCTGACCTCTGCAGTTTTACCATAATTTTAACTTGTTGACATGGTAACTGACTTTGCTTTTTAAAGGACCCAAATCTAGCTCAAAAAATATATCAAATAAGTTCTTGCTCAGAATATATCAAAGTTAATTTTTAAATGCATTGTTCCTTTATGGTGATATTAAACAGTACCATGTAAAATATGCCTGGGAGGCAAAACTTGGCTCTAATGAAAAAAGTCAGGTCTGGGGTGCCTGGGTGGCTCAGGCCATGATCCCAGAGTCTCGGGATCAAGCCCCGCATCGGGATCCCAGCTCCATGGGGAGTCTGCTTCTCCCTCTGAACTTCCACCCTCTCATGCTCTGTCTCACTCACTCTCTCAAATAAATAAAATCTTTTTAAAAATTTTTAAAGAAAAAAGTCAGGTCTGACAGCTGCAGTAATTCAAACTCTTACATTAATGACACACTCTCCTCAGCTTCTCAATGTAGAGCTACATCTAGAAGAAGCTGACTGTCAATAGAGTGGCAAAAAGTGGGCAAGTGTGTATACATATGAGGGTTATATCTGTGCTAGAGTTATATTAACATGCTTATTAGAGTTAATAATCAAGTACCAAGTTGATGCTAAACCTGCATATATTCCTCTGAGTTCAAATGCGCGTATCATATGTGTGTGTAAGTAATATATTGCCACAGTCAGTATGTGCAACCAGTCTTTGCTTCCTGGTCACCCCCACCCCAATTCTAGAATTCCTTGTGGGTTGTTACTACTGTCTCAAAGATTTATGTAAGATTAAAAAAAAAATTACTGAAGTCGAAGTCATTTTTTCCCCTTTCTCATCTAGGCTAGTGGTAAAGTCTCTGAAGGAGAAGGGAATTGTGGAGCCTGAATTGTATGAGGAAGTGACAATCTACTTCAGTGACATTGTAGGCTTCACCACCATCTGCAAATACAGCACACCCATGGAAGTGGTGGACATGCTCAATGACATCTACAAGAGTTTTGACCACATTCTTGATCACCATGATGTGTACAAGGTAACCACTTCACCTAACAGGCTGAAATGGTTGTACTACCCCTGGCCAACAGCCAAAGTTGGTTGGTTCCTATTATTATTCAGATCTTGTCCTAATTTAAGATTTCATGAATTCATGGTTGAATCTGAAGCTAAAGATGCATGGAAGTAAAAAAGAGTTACAAGGGTCAGAAGTCAAAATGCCCTTGTGATTTTAAGAAGCAGTTTGAAAGAAACAACATAAAGTTCATCAGGAATGAACTTTGGGTACTAAACAGAGAGAAGATGGCATTCTCCCAAATCATCTTTTTAAAAAAAATGGACAGTGTGTAGACTGATTGCCAAGGAAGCAGAGAAGACACTGGAGTTATAAAGTAGAATAGGAATCTGTTGTTGAAATAGCAAGCAGCATTCATAGAAGACTAAAGAAGAACAGGGAGAACGTTCTGTAAGTTCAGTACTCTGACTAGAGTGCAGACACATTTTCAGCTCATAATGTCTGAGAAGAGTAAAGGAGAATTGAATTCCCACGTTTTCATGTTGGAAAAGGAGCAGAGCTTGTGGAACAAGTAACTTAGCGCTATTCATTCAAATCCCAACTGGCCCTACCCGTGTGACCTCATAAAATACATTGAACCTTGTCAAGTTTCAGCTTCCCTATCTGTAGAATGGGATGATCATAACACCTAACTCAGTGGGTTATTGTGAAAGCTATTGAGATAAACAATATGCCTGAAATACTATAAGCTCAAGTAAAGTTTAGAGGTCACTCATGTAACAGTCTGTCATAATGCCTATTACCCACAGAGAAGATGTCCCTTTTAGGGTTTGTCTTAGCACTGTCTTCGCCCTATGTAGGTCAGAAAGGCATATGAACAATAGTTCTTGTTGGATAGGAAATGGTTATGCGTTTTAGAGATGGTTGGCAGAGAGAAGTTGACTACCAACAAACATGAACTATATGATTATGAAAATAAACTTAAACGAGAGGTCATTTATCAAAGAACGTTTATAGGATACTGTTGATACAAATTTACTTACCATGAAAGGGCTTGAAATCGCTATACTGTAAGAACATACATTACAGGGGCGCCTGGGTGGTTCAGTGGATTAAGCCTCTGCCTTTAGCTCGGGTCATGATCTCAGGATCCTGAGATTGAGCCCCACATTGGGCTCTCTGCTCAGCAGGGAGCCTGATTCTGCTCTCTCTCTCTCTGCCTGCCTCTCTGCCTACTTGTGATCTCTGTCAAATGAATAAATAAAATGTTTAAAATAAATAAATAAATAATTAATTAAAAAAGAGAGAGAGAATGTACATTACATCTTGAAGGAGCCTACAATTATTCAAATAGGACATGAGAAAAAATGTTCAGTGTTAAAGGTGACTTTTCTGGTACTTACAAATGTTCCTGAAATTATATACAACCATTCAGACTATGTAAACATTATAAAAGTGTCACCACATCTAGATGGTTTATATTATTATGAAGTACTCTCATAGGTCAAAATATTTTATAGCTGCTTTACCATTCATTTAACTAGACTATAAAACCATAAAGAAATTAGCAGAGACCTGCTCTTGGGCTAGTCCCCAGAAAAGTAGTATGGGGCTGTGCTCACACTGAGTTCTCAAAAGCTTTTGTTTTGATGTGCCATCAACTGCTTGTTTTTTATTTCTTCTGCCTTTCGAAGGGGTAGGACCACTAACGAGCAACTATTTCCACAGGTGGAAACCATTGGCGATGCCTACATGGTGGCCAGTGGTTTACCCAAGAGGAATGGCAACCGGCATGCAATCGACATTGCCAAGATGGCCTTGGACATCCTCAGCTTCATGGGGACCTTCCAGCTGGAGCATCTTCCCGGCCTCCCCATATGGATTCGCATTGGAGTTCACTCTGGTACGGAGTTAAACAGGGTACCAAATGGGAATCATATGAACCTCTGTGAACCAACTAAATCAGAAAGGATAAAGGGTCTCCAGATGTGATCGATTTTCCCATGCAGTTTCCTCTTGAATCTGCCTGCCAAATATGACATCCCATTACACATCCTGACATAATTCGAACCTCCTTCCAGAGTTCTAGGGAACAACACATTCTGTAGCAACCTTTGGCTCCTGGAATGATAAACACCAACCACAGACTAAAATGACAGCCTCCAGACTTCCTCCTACTTAAGTCCCTATATTTACTATTTAATTTATTTCCTCTCCCCTCCTTCCCTCTCCCCTGCCCCCAACGTCTGTTATTGTTATTGTTTTGTTTTGTTTTCCCCATTACACTAATATAGTATCTTTCACGGATTGGATTATCTACAAGGAAAAAAAAAGGGGGGTAAAATTCCTACAATGAAAGGGCATTTATGTCCTCCCTACCCCCATCTATGGTACAGAAAATACACGGATCACTTCAAAGGCCATGAAAGATACTGACCCTAGAACGTAGAGATTTGAGAAAATGAGCTACAAACGTTATAGAAAAATGAAGTTGGAAAGGAACTCGGAAGTCATCTAGAGTAATCCTTTATAAGGCACAACTTATTTTTAGAGGTTCCAAGACAAGTAATACTTATCTTTGGAATAATCCCAGGATTCCCTGAAAACTCACTGTTTCCAAAGTCAACTCACTCCATTACTAATGATAATTATTAGACAGCCTTTCCTTGTGTTAAATTAAATCACATCTCCCTACACTATCCTGTCATTGCTTTTTTTCTGCCTTCCATGGCTCACAGAAGACTCAAAATACAGAAAACCCAAGATCACTCCAGGCTGTGTGGCAAGGACCAGACAACTGCATTGCAAAAGTCATTCTCTGTCTACAATGCCTGGCAGAGAGCCTGGCAGTAAACACTTACTGATTTGATAATGATCCAGGAGATTCTCAAAGTAAAAGTAAATAGAAGTTAAAAATTTCTGCCACAATCATGTCCACAGCTATATATCAGAGATGTCTCCATATATACATGAGGGGACTTCTTGGTCATTTCCCCAGCCAGCAAAAGCAGGCTGTCCCTTTTCTGACCTATCACAGATTGCCAGGCCTGGATGGAGGGCCAGCAGCTCAGTGACTGAGCCGAGTCATGGAGGACGGAGCTCTGGGTTCTGGCCCCATTTCTTTCCCACTGTGACCAACGCAACCGTGAGGCGACTACCAGGGCCTCAGTTTCACCACATTGAGCTGGAGTGAGCAGAGATATTAGGCACACATACCTGGAGGGGGTTAGCCCTCAGAAATTAAGAGGTGGCAGTTAAATATTGATAGTTGAAGGCAAGACTTCTGCAGGAATCTTCTGCCACCTGGCCCTTCCCGGCTTCACTCCCATGTTAGAGTAAAGAGACAGCGTAATTGGACCTAGCGGACCTCAGGCATAGATCAGAGATTTGAATTAGTCGCTGCCTCTCCTGCCCCTTCCCTTCCATAGGCTTCCGTTGCTTTTGTTTCTCGTTGCTCTTGTTCGGTTGTTTTGTGTTGTTTTGCATTGAACCTAACAAAGGGCTCGACACTCAAAGGAAGATCCGGTATTTTGATTTTTTTTTTTCAATGTTCATAATCACAGAGAATCTATAGGATAAACCTACAAAGAAACTCATGTAGGTCAAAACCCAATAAGCCAACTAGAAAATCAAGTTCCCTTTATCCAAAACCGGTTTTGCAATTTCTGAGTTACTCTTTAACGTCTAAAATCTGTCACTCCTCACATTAGGTCACTCCACACAAATACTTGGGTAACTACCCTTCTTCCATACCCAGTATGCTGCTCGGCCCGGTCTCGCCTTGGTTTCTGGGTTCTTGTAAGAAAGCCCTTATGCCGCAGGCTCTGCAATCCGTCTGCATTCACACCGTGGTGCATGAAGTGCCCGGGGACAATAATGCAAGTCCTCGTCTTCTGGGTCTCCCATCATTGTGTCGCCAGTCTGAGAATGCTAGTCTGAGTAAATTAAACAAAATGTGGCCCCTGAGCCTTTGAGTGAAGCATGGTCTCCAGCCGTTAAGAGCTCAGAGCTGTGTGGCCTGGCACAGTAGGCCAGCCGCGGGAGAGTTTTCATCCTCCCCGAGAACCTCCTATTAAACATATTACGAAGGACTTCCCACCTTAGCAGCCTGGAGCTCTGGATGCCTTCCTATTTTGTGCAAATGTAGTTTTCTGTGCTGTCTGTAGCAAAATATCTTCTAGAAGCTTGTCTTGCTGTAACAATGCTTTCCTCATTGAATATATCCATTTAACAAAAGTCACAGCTCACTTTTCACACCCCATAGAATGAAGGATTCAGCACTGTGACGCTGAGAAAAGGCTTCCCCACCTTAACTCCACACCATGATTGCTTCTGCCGCCACTTCCTGCTTTCTGTGCATTTCAGGGCCCTGCGCCGCTGGAGTCGTGGGGATCAAGATGCCTCGTTATTGCCTATTTGGAGACACCGTCAACACAGCCTCGAGGATGGAATCCACGGGCCTCCGTAAGAAAGGAGATCACTTTTCGTAGAGGAGGATTGTGTCTTGCAGGAGAGGGGAACTATAACATAAAATGCACAATAAGGAGCTACAAAGAACTAGTGAGATGAAGAGTCACCTTCCACATGGACTAGACATGGGCCTCAGTCAGTCCAGTTCCTGCAACATTTGCTTTCGTTGTTGCCACTGCCTGAGAATTTCTGTGTTCTTCCTTTTTAGCTCATTAGTAGACTATTTCTGTTCGTTTTGGTTCATTTGCAATGCATTCAGGCATGCTCTACCTGGAATAGTCATGATATTTAGCATAAATCCATGTAAGTTAAAAAAAAATTCAGTGGACTAGATATGGAGCTTACACTGGCTTGCTTTCCTATTCCTCTTTTGTTTTCCTGAGAATTGGCTTTAGTAAAGGAAAATATAAGTATTTATTATATGCAGAAGCCTTTATTGCATTCACCTGACAGAGTGGAGGCACCATGAGCTCCATGTAGTAGATGCTCAATAAATTTTTTTAAAAAAGATTTTATTTATTTAACAGAGATCACAAGCAGGCAGAGAGGCAGGCAGACAGAGAGGGGAAAATGGGAAAGGAGCCCGATGTGGAGCTCGATCCCAGGACTCTGGGATCATGACCTGAGCGGAAGGCAGAGGCTTAACCCACTGAGCCACCCAGGCGCCCCAATGCTCAATAAATATTGGAGACCATGATAGTAACAGAGATCTAGATAAGAGAGAAAGCAAGCTTTGGTAGGCGGGGCTAACAAAAACACAGGTGCGAGAGTGGTATCTTGGCAGTCTACTGACAAGCTCTTACTGGTTTGTACAGGAAAGTCATGGTATAAAGGAAAGGACAGATTTGGGTTACCATTATAACTGTACAGATCACTCTCTGTATAAGCCGGGGGTGGGGGAGTAGTTACTCATCTTTCTAGGCATCAGAAGGTAGAAGGAATAAATAGAGGATGGGATACCAGTCTTGCTGGAAGGGTCTCCGGAAGGAGTTGGCATGATGTATTTTAAGCATTTAGTAATCCTCAGATACATGGCAGGCGTGTAATATAGGACCGCCATTATCCTTACTATTGTCATTGTTTGCGGCCCGCACGGTGGGAACGGCGGTATACCGATGGTGGGCCATGAATGTCAGTGACTCCACCAACCGCTTGTCAGAAGGATGGCAGTACCTCAAAAGAGTAACACCTAAAAAAGTCATGACCCTGTCACTCTCTCCTGAATCTCCATCTTGCTGCCAACACTTAAGCTGCTAATTAGAACTTTCACAACAGGGACCCAAAACCAAATTGCAGCTGTCAAGCTCAGCACCACAAACTAAATCCAAACCAAGACTCAGGAGGCACCCCTCTGAGCAGGAGGGAGAATCTTTCGAGCATGACCTGCGGGAGCCTCTTCACTCAGGACCCCAAAAAGCAATGCCAGGTCCTCTTTCATCCCATGTGTGATAGTATTTGTCTCACAGGTCATATTTTTAAGGGCCCTTTCACCAAAATATCTCAGCTGTCAAGAACTCCTGTAACACCTGTCCTGAATCAAGTGGAAACAAATGTGTTCCTAGAATAGACTTCAAAATGGAGATTTTCATTGACTGTTTTGCATTTCCAGCCTTGAGAATTCATGTGAGCGGCTCCACAATAGCCATCCTGAAGAGAACCGAATGCCAGTTCCTGTACGAAGTGAGAGGGGAAACATACTTAAAGGTAAGGGGTCCACAGGGAGGGGACCCAGAAAAAGCACTCACTTGTGGGTCCCCTCCTTGGAGACGGGACATCCCATGGTCAATAATGTCAAGGAGCAAAAAGATGAAGAATCCTTTTCTGCACTCCCTGTGGTGATCGCCCATTACCCCCTGTAGGAGAAGCCACCCCCAGAAGAATGCAAACTCAGAGCTTTTTTCATATTTTGAACTAACACTGATATGTTATAAAATGCTACCACCATTTCTTTCACATACCTCCAAGTTTTGCTTCCATGTCTTCCCGCAAAGCCGAGAGCTAAGGTCTGGGATGGAACTTATTTATTTATTTACTTATTTAAGATTTATTTATTTATTTGAGAGAGAGAGAGCCCGGGGAGGAGGGTGAGGAGCAGAAGGAGAGGGAGAGAGAAACTCAAGCAGACTCTGCATTGAGCACGAGCCCAACCACCTGAGATCATGACCTGAGGTGAAACCAAGAGTCGGACGCTCAACCCGCTGCACCGCTTAGGTGCCTGGGGACTTATTTAACTTAAGCCAAAGCTCCCATGCCTCCCTCACTTCCTTATTATCACTGCTGCTTCTCTCTAAAACCACCTCTCCAGGGGTTGCTTTACCATTCAGAAGCTTTGGACCTGTGATTGCCACCTGCAGCCCCACGCTTGCTGAGAAAGACCCTCTGTGGGTGTAGATCAGGAAACTAGATTTTTAGTGAGTATTCGAGGTGATCAGGAAGCATGCCAAGGATGGAGAATCACAGTCTCTCTTCCCCAGGCTGTTGATCTCCAAGTTTCTCCAGTTGGCTCTTGGGCTGCTTTTCAAAGGTCGTTCGAGTCCTTTCACAAATGGTCTGAAGCCAACTACTGATCGGAAGATGATCTGTCTCCAGAAGCCACAGTGCTTCTGGCCTTTACAATGTGACCACAACTTGGAAAAGCCTCCTTTCGTGTAGACGTGCCCTCATATCACACTCACTATCAGTACACTTCTGCACAGAGCATTCCCCCCAGCATAAGAGTGGTGTGTGGATGACTGCAGTCCAAACCCAGCCAGCCAACTACCGGTTTTAAAGGGCACCCGAGTGGCTCAATCAGTTGAGTGTCTGACTCTTGGTTTAGGCTTAGGTCATGATCTCAGAGTCGTGAGATCAATTCCCCCATCAGATTCCACGCTATAGTCTGCTTGGGATTCTTTCTCTCCCTCTCCCTACCGTGCATGCACTCTCATTCTCTCTCAAACAAATAAACCTTTAAAGAAGAGTGATTTTTTTAAATATATAGCCTTCCCATCTCCTTTTCAAATACAAGCTTTAGCGAAAACAGGATTTCCAATACATTTCCATTCATTTTATAGTCTCCAGATGGGTCCAGCAAATGTCACTTAATAAACATGTCTTAGGATGAACACGTGTTTGTAATTTACATGCTTAAGGTGGGGAAATTGGCAGAAGGTTTGTCATGAAATCTTGTGGCAAAAAGGGCTCAAAGAAAAAGTGGGTGATGAAAACCAATTGGATGTCTTAGTGAAGCAGGATTGGACACAAATTTTCTTCTTTTTTCATTTAGAGTTCTTTTGATGTTGCTATAACGACACTTTGAAATATTTTTGGGGGAAAAAAGAAAACTGTATTTTGAAAAAAAAATACATCTGGGGAACGAGAGATGTATTTTTAAAAAGACACTTGGAAAGAAAGATGTGTCTGGAGGGAATGCAAATCTCATCAGAACATGGGTTCTGGGGGCACCTGGGTGGCTCAGTGGGTTAAGCCTCTGCCTTCGGCTCAGGTCATGATCCCAGGGTCCTGGGATCGAGCCCCACATCGGGCTCTCTGCTCAGCAGGGAATCTGCTTCCTTCCTCCTCTCTCTGCCTGCCTCTCTGCCTACTTGTGATCTCTGTCTGTCAAATAAATAAATAAAATCTTTAAAAAAAAAAAAAAAAAAAGAACGGTTCCGCTGAAGTGTGGACACTCATGAGAAACAGGGAAGTGAGGGGTCTCTTGGAAATGGATGTTTGTCAGCGCTGTGGGCTAGAACAGACCTATCTCACTGACCTCCATGGCGCCCACCTTTCTTGTCTCCCCAGGGAAGAGGAACTGAGACTACCTACTGGCTGACGGGGGTGAAGGGCCAGGAGTACAACCTGCCGACCCCTCCTACTGTGTAAGCTGCTGGGTGTGGCAGGGCGGGACAGGGCAGTGGAAGTCTTGGCTTTATTATCCCTGCTGTGTACAGCCATAACTGGTGGCAAGTGCTCCGCCAGTGGCAATGATACATCAAATACACGGCCAGGGATTACTTACATGAGAAGTCTAGAAACCTCCCTTCTCTGGCTGCCAGAAGTTGGGTGTTCCAGGCACGCTCAGAATGGAGGAGAGCGGACGGCTCACCTCCCGCAGATCTGGTTCAGACCAGAGGAGGGCGTTCTGGTGGCCAAGAGGCACTCTGCAACTGGACCCCTGCCGGCAGCTTTCTGCTAGGCTGCCTGATGGAAACAGGACCTTCCCTCCCCTGCCTCCCCGCCAGGCCTGTGGTTCTGGGTGATTACATGGACGCTGTGTTCTCCCACAGATGAGGAAGGGCAAGTTTCAGGTCTAACGAACAGGTTTCAGTTCTCTTCATGGTGACCAGGAGGGTCACCCCATTGCGCATTTGGTTGTTGCAATCAGTCCCATGACTGTTGGGGTGGCTCTTGATATGGTCGAGAGACCCTGGCTTGCAGATTCTCAGATGCTGGACCCAGATATGGCAAGCCTCTAGGGAAGCCGAAACAAGCCAGATCTTCCCCGGGCCACAGGGGAGCTGGCCCCTTATTGGAGCCCCCAGGTCCGCTCCAAACTCTTAAAACCCTCCATCCCTTCAGAGGCCTCCCCAGACAAGATCCACACCCCAGAATGTGTGGGACCAAGTCCTCAGGGTTGGGTTGCAGGGCCCCACCGCTATTGTCCTGGCGTTGTTTGCCCTCCCTGCAGTGGCACGTGGAAACGTAACCGCTCTTCCAAAGCCGAGCAGCGTGTCATTCCACTTTGAAATTGAAATAGAATTTTAATTTTTTCAGTGTTCTAAGATTCATTGTTTATTCACCACACCCAGTGCTCCCTGCAATACGTGCCCTCCTTAGTACCCATCACCAGGCTCACCTAAGGTGAAATAGAATTTTCTGTTTGAAATGTATCCTGCTTTTTCCACAAATGCACAGAGCAGGGATGACAGCTCTTATAAGCCCATCAAAAGCAAGGCTCTTTCTCTATTCTCTGGGCTTCCCGTGGTTAGTGCGGACTAAGCACTCAAATAAGTATTTGGTAAACGGAACTGATTGTTCTGGAAGGACGAAATAGTCTGTATGAATTGCTGAGAAGTTCCGTTTTCCCTCCCCACTCTCTTCCCAGGGAGAATCAGCAGCGCTTGCAAGCCGAATTTTCCGACATGCTCGCGAACTCTTTACAGAAAAGGCAGGCGGCGGGGATAAGAAGCCGAAAACCCACACGGGTGGCCAGCTACAAACGGGGCACTCTGGAGTACTTGCAGCTGAACACGACCGACAAGGAGAGCAACCAAGCGAATTAAGCACAGCTGCACTAAGGCGGTGGCCTCAAGTGTCCCAGAGACCTCCAAGCAGCGGCAGACTGTGATGCGCTTGGCTTGGCCTTGGCTGCCAGGGCGGGAACACAGACTGGCTTCTGTGAATCAGATGTACACACGCGGTGCAAAAATTACCTTTTACTCTGAAGTCTGATCTCAACAGTGGCTCTGGGGAGCTGCCCCCTGGGAAAGAAGAATAGATGGACTGTCTCTAAACTGAAGAGATTGTGTTCTTACTCCCATTTGTTTGGTTTTGGTTTTGTTTGGTTTACTGGCTGGCTCTTTTTCCTTCTGTATTCATGAGCGTTTTTAAATTGTCACGATTATATTTTAAATACCCTATCTCCATTAAATTATATTTAACTCATAATTTTTGCAGAAAATATGCTCTATGGTAGGCAAGAATAAAAGTTAAAAAGGTACCGAGTCTGTGTGTGTTTCCAGCAACCCAGCCATTTTCCATCTTCGCCGGCCACCATCTTGTGCTCACTGGACAATGGATGACAGCCCCCAGCACGGAGGCGAGGCAAAGCTAGCAGTGTCGTTCAGGGCTAAGAAACTGGATGTTCAGTATCGCCCGCTACACACAAGAAGATTTTATGTCTAGCCTTCTATTATGGGAGGCAGGGCCTACATCTGTCTCCAATCTAACATAAAGGTCAAATCTTATTTACTAGAAAAGACAAATACTTGAAACTCTGCAAATATCCCCTTCCTGCCATCCAGCGGCCATCTTCTGCCCCCCCTTCTTATGGCATCCCAGCATGACTCATTTGCTTGAAATCTCAGGGGGAATGGCAAAGGGCAGCTGGTGTGAAGTAGATTAGAATCAGAAAGGCAAGAATGTAACACTTCTGTGGCTCATGTAACACTTCTGTCGCTTATCTGAAGGAAACTGTTTTGACCACATAACTCTTGCCCCGCCTCTACCACAAAAACCACACCAGAGATCAGGAAACAGGCAATATTTTCTCCTTCACCTGGAAAAGGGTAAAATCAAAAATAATAAATTATCTCCTGATGTATAGGGTTAGCCCTTCATATGCGGCAAGAGTCCTTACCTGGAAACTGGAAGTTTGTGATTTCTGCCTTGGCGTCTCTGCAGTGGCTTCACAATTCCAAAGAAATAGGCTTATAAAGCAAGAATTGTTTGCATACGTGCAAGATAGCTCAGAAAGTTTGTGACCCAAGAATTCTATGTGAAAAAAGTACAAGGGGAAGTACTGGGTAGAAACAAGAACTAAATTTAAGAGGAATACAGGAAATCCTAGAATCAATTTTTTATACCTTTGATATATACTCCTCTTGAGACATGCAAGATCTGACTTAAAAATATTGAAGTAGGGGCACCTGGGTGGCTCAGTGGGTTAAAGCCTCTACCTTCGGCTCAAGTCTTGATCCCAGAGTCCTGGGATCGAGCCCCACATTGGGCTTTCTGCTCAGCAGGGAGCCTGCTTCCCTCTCTCTCTGCCTGCCTCTCTGCCTACTTGTGATCTCTGTCTGTCAAATAAATAAATAAAATCTTCAAAAAATATATTGAAGTAATAATACAACTAAATTAATAGCTATGTGTTTTTTCCTGTTTAGTACCAAATATCCAGTATCAAGAAAGGAATTACGATTTAAATGAAAAAGGCAATTTTACCTTATTTTCCTTTTTTATAATCCCCTAGAAAACAGTGAACATAACAAATTATAGAGGAGACAACTAAAGAAACAAATACTCAAGATTTTAAACTTCAATTTCAATTAAATATGAGTGATTTTTAAATATATAAAATATAGATGCAGGGCGCCTGGGTGACTCAGTGGGTTAAGCCTCTGCCTTTGGCTCAGGTCATGATCCCAGGGTCCTGGGATCGAGCCCCGCATGGGGCTCTCTGCTCATCAGGGAGCCTGCTTCCCCCCACCCCAACGCCTCTGCCTGCCTCTCTGCCTACTTGTGATCTCTGTTTGTCAAATAAATAAATAAATAAAATCTTTAAAAAAAAAAAAATATATATATATACACGCATAACTGTTCAAAAACTGATATCTGGGATAAAAATAAAGGAAAAAACTTGAGCAGCTCTTACTTCCTCAGACCTCAAGCAGGAAAAAGATTTCCCTCAAAGTTAATCTCACATCATAAAAGGCTGATCTGCTGATCTATAGGTCAGGTGACCAGATAGATCTAGGCCATGATCAAGCAAGAAATGACTTTGTAAATATTTTTAAATCCTCAGAATGGCAGAGAAAATAGAAATAGAAAATAGAAACTATGTTGACATAAGGTCTTTGACATAATATCCCACTGAAAGAAGATGCCAGAAGTAGAGGAGGGAGAGAAGACAATAATTTCCATAGCAGTTTTAAAGGACTCAGCTGGGAGTTACATTAACCAGTCAATGGAACCCACTCAGTGCAGCCCAATAGAACTATGTCAGCCTCATATGGACATTTATTAGCTTTTTATTTTGAAAAAATAATAAAGTCATAGGAAGTTAGAAGAAGAGTACAGGAGGGCCTCTGGTCCAGACAAGATGGCATAGACTCATTTCTCCCTGATCTTCCCCTCTTGGTACAACTGTAAGTCCGTGATGCAATACAAGACACAAGCAAAGGAGAACGAAAGAGCATGGGAAGAGGAAAACAGACTTGTTAGGGACCCCAAGACCCACAGAACAACATTGCAACAGAGTCTCTTACTCCCCTCCACTCTACAAAAGAAGGCAAGTCAGACCCAGCCTTTTTCAACTTTTACCAGTCAAGAAAACTGCTTCACAACTTTATTAAAATCAGCTGTATATACTTGAGGGCTTCTGTTTCTGGGTTTTCTATGTTATGCCATGAATCTACACATTTATCCCTCCTCCCATGCCACATAGTCTTGATATTGTAGCTGTATAATAAATCTTAAAATCAGGTGAAGCGCTTCATCCCACTTTATCCTTCTTTTGCAAAATTGTTTCAGCTATTATAGTTTTTTTTTTTTGCCTTTCCATGTAAGTTTTAGTATAAACTTATATACAGCTCTAATAAGACTTGCTAGGGTTTTGATATCATTTGCACCAAACCAGTATGTCAGTTTGGGGAGAATTGACATCTTGGCTATGTTGAGTCTTCCAATTTATGAACGTGGTATGTCTTGCCATTTATCTAGATCTCCTTTTACATATGCAATTTAAATGTTCTAGTGGTCACGTTTTTTAAAAAGAAACACGTAACCTACGTTAATAATATATTTAATTAAACCAGTATATTCAAAGTGTTATCATTTCTGCATGAAATCAATATAAAATTATTAGATATTTTTCATTTTTTGTGGTAAGCCTTTGTGTATATTTTACAGTTATAGAAAATCTCAATTCATTTTTAGAGTGCTTAAGAGTCACAAATCACTAGTCATTACTAATTTGATAGCATCACTTTAGAATGCCAAAAACTGGGTGACATTCTTTTTCAGGGAAAAGAAAGGAAATTATAGATTAAGTGAGAGAGCAAGAGGGTCCATTCACTCTCTCAAGAGACACCCAGATATACACATGACATAGGAGTTGAAACTATCTAATGGGGAATTTTAGACAACTATAATTAGTATGTAAAAACTCTGAAAACATGGGCAACATGTAAGTTCAGATGGGCAATTCAGCACACAGTTGGAAGCAATAGGAAAGAATCAAATGGAAATACTACAAATAAGCATAGTGACAAAGAAAAAGAATGTCTTTAATGAAGCTACTAGACTTGCTGAGGAAAGAATCGTTGTACTTGAAGGTAGCACTAAAGAAATTCTGCAAACTAGCCAAAGAGAAAAAATAAACACAACAGAACTACTAAGAACTGTGAGATAATATTAAATGGCCTCAGGTATGTAAATGGAATCCTAAATATAGAACTATACAGAAGAAACATTTGAAAAAAATAATGATTGAAAATGGACCAAATGTAATGGCAGACACCAAATCACAGATCCAAAAATCACAAAGAACACCAAATAGAATAAATGCCCTAATCTACCTGTATATTCAAACTGCTGAGAACGAAGAAAAAAATGTAAAGGTAGTCTGGGATTGGTGAGGGGGTGAGGGGGTGAGGAGGAAGACACACATTACACACAAAATAACAGAGTTAAAAATTATAGCCAACTTCTCTTCTAAAACTCTGCAAACTAAAAGATAACAAAATGACATCTTTAAAGGGCTGAAGAAAGAAAAATAGAATTTTATACCCAGCCCAAAAAAAAAAAAAAAAAACCTGAATAAAGAACAGAGACTTTCTCAAAAAAAGAACATGAGAATTTATTGCCAATAGACCTACTCTACAATGCATGTTAAATGCATATGGTACCAGATAGAAATTTGGATTTTTAAAAAGAAATGATGAATACTGGAAATGCAATATAAAAAAGTCAAATACTTTTTTTCCTATTTTTAATTGTTTTAAAACCATTTTTGTGTTTACCTTCATGTTTTTAGTTTCCTGTTGTACAGTGTAGATTTAGCTTTATTCTGATTTGCTTTTTGACTTTGCACCAAAGGAGATATATAAATGCAAAAAGTATATGAAAAGATGTAAAACATCATTAGTCATTAGTAAAAGATAATTAAAGTCACAATGAGATAATACAACACACTATTTAAATAGCTAAAATTAAAAATCTGACAATATCAAGTGCTGACAAGGATGCAAAACAAATGAAACTCACACATTGTTGGCAACATAAAATGGTACAGAAACTTTTGAAAATAGTTTGGTGGGTTTTATAAAGTTAAACATTTACCATAGGGTCCAACAATCCCACTCCTGATTTGTAATTATACAAATGAAATGAAAACTACATTCACATAAATACATGTTTCTGAATGTTTATATTAGCTTTATTCATAAGCACCAAAACTGGAAACAACTGAGATTTTTTCAGTAGGTGGACAGATCAAGAAAGCCACTCAATGAAATACTACCCAGCAATAAAAAAATAATGAACTACTGTTTCACATGACAACATGGATGAATCTTAAATGCAACTTCCTGAGTGAAAGAAGCCAGACCCAAAAGATGCTATATTATAAGATTTCATTCATATGCTATTCTGGTAAAGAGAAAATGGTTGCCAATTGTGTGGAGGGGAGATGTGACTACAAAAGGATAGAACAAATGAACTGGGGTGTGGCGGGGGGGTTTGAGGGGAGTGATATAACTGTCCTGTTGTAAATACATGATTCTGTGCATTTATCAAAATGCTAGGACTGTATTGTACAAAGAAAAGACTTTCACTGTGAGCATTTTTTTATAAAATGCAACCAGATGCAGATTGAACCCAAGATGGAATGCAGACAGTGACAAACGAATGTGTTCTACAGAATGGCATAATCTCACTAAAGAAGGGGTAAAGAAAAATGCTGACAGAAGTAACTTTGGAAAACAGCGTTGCA